AAATTTTGTTTGAATTTCTTTTGTGAATTAAAATGACGTCCGCCATTTTTTTTTAAACAATGTTTTTTCTGTTGACATTAATTGTTTTTTTCTCTATTAATTAATAAATAAAAATGTAATTAACGGATGATTTAATAAAATTATTAACTGGAAATTGATTAAAGAAATTGTCGTGTCACCAGAAACGAAATGAAATTAAAAAAATTTGTTTTGTTTGTTTTTGTATTTATTTCATCAAATATTAAATCGTTATTATTATCATCATTAATGAAATTAAATTGTTTGGCCCGGTTTAAAACAAGACCTTAAAAACCTTAACCTCGGGGCGGTCCGTACCTGAATTTCGTAAGATTTTTTTTTTTTTTTTTTTGATAAATAAAATGAAATTATTACCGGTTTTTGTGACTACCGAAAAACAAAATAATAATAATAAATTTGGTTCATTTTTTTTTTTTTTTTGAAAATCAGGTTGTAGAAAGGAGGAAAACTTTTTTTTTTTTTTTTCGTACCTGAAATTAAATTTTTTATATTTAAAAAAAAAAAAATAACAAATTCCGATTATTATTATTATTAACATTTATATTTAAAAAAAAAAAAATTATTAACAATACACTTAAATTTTTAACTTAATAATTACCGTAATTTTTTTTTTTTTTTTACTTAAACGAGTAAAATAAAAATAAAAAAAATTTATAAAACTGGAAAAAAATGATCATCATCATCATCCGTTATTTTTCCGATAATTTAAATTTAATAATTAACTGGAAATTTTTGTTTTTTTACAAAACCTCTCCGTTATATAGGATCTATAAAAGAATTTTTAGCAGAAGATATAATAATAATAATAATAAATTTTTGCAAAACACGTTTAATAAATAATAATATATATATTTTATTTAACCGCCGTTAATTGAGAGAGAGAGAGAGAGAGAGAGAGACAGCGAGAAAGAGAGAGAAAGACCTTAAAATGATTAAAAAAAAAACACGGATAAAAATAGCGGAAGAAAAAAAAATTCCGAAGGATTTAATTGAAATTTAAAAATTGGCGGGAAAATAAAATTCGACAAAAAACCCTTTTAAAACCATAGAGTAAATAAATAAAATAACTCGGATAAAAATAGCGGAAGAAAAAAAAATTCCGAAGGATTTATTTCAAATTTAAAAATTGGCGGGAAAATAAAATTCGAAAAAACCCTTTTAAAACCATAGAGTAAATAAATAAAATAACTCGGATAAAAATAGCGGAAGAAAAAAAAATTCCGAAGGATTTATTTGAAATTTAAAAATTGGCGGGAAAATAAAATTCGAAAAAAAACCTTTTAAAACCATAGAGTAAATAAATAAAATAACTCGGATAAAAATAGCGGAAGAAAAAAAAATTCCGAAGGATTTATTTGAAATTTAAAAATTGGCGGGAAAATAAAATTCGAAAAAAAAACCCTTTTAAAACCATAGAGTAAATAAATTTTTTCCTGAAACAATCGTAAAGTAAACAATGAAAACAAAGTTAAAATCAATTTTTTTTTTCTTCTACTTTTTACTCTAGATTAATAAGGTCCCCCTTTTCCTGTTACCCTTCTACTTCCTCTTCTACCTCCCCTTCTGCCCCCCTCATTATAAAATTACGTTCATATTTATCTAATGAATCATTTCTAATGTCTAATTAAGAAAAAATTTCTAAACTTTAACCTTAAGTTTTTTTTTTAACGCCATTTTAAAAAAAATACAATTTTTTTAAAGAGAGAGAGAGGGGGGGAGGAAGGGGGGAAGGGAAGGGAGAAGACAAAATGACGCATTCATCTATTTCTCTTAGAGTAAAAAAAAAAAAAAATTATTTTAGTAATTAATCATGATCAATTAAAAGAAAAGCAGCAAGAACGATCGATTAATTATATAAATAACCGACGACTAAATCATTATATTTTCGGTAATTAGCGAATTTACAAATTCGTACCTGATTTTTTTAAGGTTTTAGCATTCTGCTACCACTAGTAATTGTCATTTCCAAATATGGTTAAAATTTATTTTGATACATTCGAACTAGATAATGATAATTAAAAAAAAAAAAAAATTTATAATAAGAATTTTCGAAAGTATATCTTTTAACGTGACGTCACATTAATTTAACATAACCGGTATATTTGGCGCCTTAATTCAAGTTCAAAAACGGTCATTACCGGAAGTTTTAGTTTTTTGTGAACGTGTTGCAATTTCAGCAACTGACGAAATTCCCGGAGAGAAAAAAAAACGTTGATTTAGACCATAAATTAAAAAACTTTGCCGGAAGTGATGGTGTATTCTTGTGATCCAACTACTCGGAGGTTAGGGGATGTTTTAAGCGCGGGGGGTTCTGGAATTGGCGTTCACTAGGGGTAAACCTTCAAGTTAAATGCTTTGGGGAAGGGCGAGGCAGCCAGGTTGAGTTCGAAAAGGGGAAAAATCGGTCCAAAAGTTACCGAGTTGAGAGTCGTGAGTTCAATTTCAGCTCGTCCAAACAAGGACAGATCTGTACCTGCGGAAGGGGTTAGTGACCTAGCACCCTTTCGAGGCATTGAGAATGCGTCGACGGGGTGAACTGGATGTTTCATCCAAAATAGGGTAAATGCAGAGCTGCGACGTGAAAGGAGGGCAGATGAACGATCAAACAAAATTCGTGACTTCGGCCATCTCTCTCTCTCTCTCTCTCTCTCTCTCGGAAACTCGCAGACTCTACGAAAGAGGCGTGAACGATGGTGGCAGCTCAAGATCGCCTTTCAAGAGCACGATGGAGAAAGGTTCCAGACGAACTCGAAAAGCGGTCGTTACAGTTCCAAAGTATTCCAGGACAGGTATTGAGTCTCTTGCTCGTTTTCGTCGGGAAAAAATTCTACCCCCCCTTCAGTATGAGTGCACCCCCATCTTGATCAACGTTGAAGAATAGTTACGTCCTTCCCGAAAGATTAAAGTGGTATCTCGGGACTGTCATCAAGGTTCCCAGAATCTTCCTCGGATAGAGCGGAAGTTCTACCATTGCGAGTATGAATCTGACGGTTCTGGCTCTGCAGGGTGTTGTAGGAGTGTTCCGAAACGTATGTTGTACTCCCGCGAGCGCTCTTCCTTCCGGGAAAGAGCACATAGTTCGGTAGTCGCTTCTGCTCAGTCCCACACCCCCTCTGCCACCGGTCGGGGAGTTTAGTGCAAAATGCATTTAAAACCGCCTTTTAATTAAAAAAAAAAAATTAATAATTTTTCCCATAATATAATTAATAATGATAATGATAACAAAAATTTTACTGTTGTCCGCCGACCATTTCACATTTAATTAAATATAATTGATTTACTTCTGAAAATTCCCACAATTTTACTTCTATTTACGACCGCCTCTCTCCCCCCCCCCCCATAATATGCTAAACGTTCTTTTTTTTTCCACGATGTTCTGCACGATGATGAGTATGGAAAATTACAAAAAAAAAAAATATAATTTGTATGTTTAAACATTTTTTTCCTTTAACCTTTGCGAAGCTGTGATTGAATTGACCCTAAACGTACTGGAAATCATTCATTAAAAAAAAAAAAAATTTTCCATGCTCCATAATTTTTTTTTAGTCTGTACCTGACCCGGCATAAAGAAACGTTTTGTGGGATGAATAATAAAATAGAAAAAACAGGCGTGGAAGAAGAACCTTAAGAGGATAGAGACACTATTATGGAAGAGATAACTGATAATAAGGCGTAGTATAGACTCTATGAAAAAAAAAAAAAAATGTCTAACGCATGGTATATGTCCCCGATATTTGTGCTCATTCCCCGCCGCCATCACCACCGCCGCCTCGGAATCACCTGCCCACAACCGTCACTATGAAAATACCCTCTAACTCACCTTAAAGATTAACCAAAGCCATTTCTTTCTTAACGAAAATCAACATTTTTTTTCCTTCTTTCATTTCAACTTAATAAAGTAATAAATAAATAAATAAACCGTTAAATTTTTTTTTTTTTTCGTTTGCCGATTTCAAATAATCGTTCGAATCGTTCGAAAATTCAAAAATTCGAACGTCGAATGAATTCAAAAAAAAAAACATGGGAAAAATATAAAAAGATATGTGTAACTCGTGTTTAACTTTCGACACGAGAGATCATTTTATAATCAAAAAAAACTCAACTCGTCGGTTGACGAATGAAGGCTCACCTTTAAATCGGGTTTGAAAAAAAACGTTTTTGGAACTCTCAACGTGTTAGAGAGACGGTTAAAGAAGTGAAGTCGTGGGTATTAGTTATCACTTGAGTGAGTGCCGTGATAATGTTACCATCATTTTACCGGTCGTTCGGATACGAATTTAAATAAAACTCGCTAAGTGAATTTACGGAATTATATTTTATTTAAATAAATAAATAAGTATAAATATTTAAATAATTAATATTAATAAATAGGTACCATCTTTTTATTTAATAATTTTTTTCAATCCGTTCGTTAAACGGATTACTTATTACTTGATGATTTAATAATTTTTTTTTTTTTTTTTTTTTTAAATGGTGATGGTAATGAGGATTTTTAATAAATGGTGTTATTATAATAAAAATTATTTATTTGTTTCAGAACAAACACCAAATGAACTAATCGAAATGAATTTAATAAAATGTCGGCCATTTTTAAAAAGAACGTCGTCGTCGTCGTCGTCGATAACGATCGCCGTTTTTTTCATGCTTTTTTTCATCGTTAACGTGATAAAATCACAGGAAAATGTCGTCGACGATGACATCGATGACGACGATTTCGACGAGGAATTATATTCCGTCATATATTCGGTAAGAGACGATGATGGATCTCTATGGTCGAATTCTCGTAAAATTCGATCTATCGATATTAATCGATATTCTACGAGTTCGAATACGACGAGTAATAATTACACGTTAACGGACAATTCCCTGTGGAACGATTTGTGGTTCGAATGTAAGAAAAAACCGTCGTTCACGTGCGTTCGAACGGGTGTTTTTAAATATTTGGACAAAAGTTTAGATAATTCTAAAGATTTAAGGCTCACGGATTCATTGTTTTTCCGCGGTAATAAAAATAAATATAACGGTTTTTGTGAGAACACGGAAGAGGAAATGGAAAAGTGTTTGAAATACAACGAAGAAAAATTAAAAATCACAAAAGTCGCGGATAGTGAAAACAACAACGACAACAATGACGTCAAATTAAACGATACCATTGACGTAATAACCGGCAACGGTAAGAAAATCAATTATTATTATTATTATTATTTGTTTTTCCAGCCCCATTTCATCCTATAGCATCCATCATTATTATTATTATCATCACGACAACCGGATATTCACACCATTCGCAAAAAAAAATATCGAAAATTTAGAAATTTTTTTCTTTTTTTCACGCGTCGAATCATTTTACGGCGGTCTTATTATTATTATTATTATTAAATGATAATAATAATAATAATTTCAAGTGTGTATCCGTGTCGATAATTTCGAATCATTCATTCATTCATTCATTTAATAATTCGCAGAATGATTTTTTATTTTTTTTTTTTTCTAGTAAAAAATAAATAAATGCTTTAGTGTGTGAGTGCGTAAAAGGTCAACGACCATCGTTTCGTTTTCGTTCGAAAAAAATTATCATTATCATTATTATTATTAGTAGTTGTAACAGTAGTAGTACTTAAGAAAAAAATGTTTAAAATAGGAAATGTTTGTAGGGGCGCACCTTAATATACGCCATATTGCGATTGCCATCGTTTGTTATTTTTTTTTTCTTTTTTTCCCTTCGTAATCTTGAAAAAATGCGTCAATCTCGATGACATGTAACCTCCATTCCAAGATAAAGTTTACAACAAAGTTTCACTCAATTCAAACAAACGAACAAACAAACAAACAAACGTAGTCTCAGTCGTGAAAAAAAAAAATAAAAAAAGAAAACGTTGGCAATAGTTATAATAATAATGATAATGATAAAGTGAAAATTTTCGCGGTTTGATTTTAGTTTAAAAAAAAAGAGACTAGAAAACTACCGCAAAACGTTTTACATAAGTTTTAAACGATATCATCATCATCATCATCATTATTATTATCATTAATGAATTTCGCATATGTTTCTTCATCTCACCCACGCACGCCTCCTCCCCGTAGAAAAAAAAAACGAAACAAAAATTCGATCCGTTTCGAAATGGGAATGGGACTCCCGTTCCGTTTTCATTCTCTATGATGTTCTCTCTTTCTCTCTCTCACACACACACACACACACACACACTCTCTCTCTCTCTCTCTCTCTCTCTCTCTTTTAAACGGTCGTTAGCGATTTTAATTATATGGGTTAACATTCGTTATTATTATCAATAAGAAAAATTAATATATATACCATACTTAAAACGAGATTTTTTTTTTTTTTGGGTTCGAATTTTGCCTTAATTACCAACCATCTCGATATTAGTTTTTTACTAATTTCTTTTTAGTTATCATCATCATCATCATCTTCATCATCATCATCATCATTATTATTATTATCAATATTTACATTTCAAACTAATTAACAATCACGTGTAAGTAATTAATCGCGTGTGATAAAAAAATACGTTCGCCATTTTTTTTATTTCACCATTTATTTTATTTTTTTTGTTGATTGCAAAAGACAGAACAAGAGAAAGATTAAAAATGTTGTAGTACCGGAAATAGAAAAAGAGAGAACGAGTAAAAAAAAAAAGGCGGGAAAAGATTTTGAATTCTTTCTTGATTGTTTTGTCGTTTCTTCGGTCACGGTTAAAAATAAATAAACAAACGGTTTTATTTATTTATTTATTTTATTTCGTCGTGTTACTTTTTTTTTTTTTTTTATAAATAAAATATTATCTACTTTTAAAAAGTCAACAAACAACAACAACAACATTTTATTTAATTATCTATTTGTTGTTTGTTGTTGTTTTATTACTGCGTTAACCTAAAAAAAAAAAAAAATAATAAAAAGGTAAAAAGTTAAATAGATAATTCGAATATTAATATTAATAATAATAATAAAAAATTGGAAAATTTTTTTTCAGTTATTTTTTTAACTGGAAAAATTTTTTTAAATAAAAACGAGTTTTGACTTATAATCCGGTAACTACCTTTCTTCTTCTTCTTCTTCTTCTTCTTCTTCTTCTTATTATTATTATTATTATTATTATTATTATTATTATTATTATTATTATTATTAAATTTCTGGAACGTTCTTGAAAAAAACGGTTAATTAAATATCTTAGTAGTAGGTGATGATAAAAATTTTTTTTTTGCTTAAACGATGACTCTAATCAATTTCGTACGATATATAATTATAAAGTTTTTTATGTTGTTGTAGTGGTTGTAGTAGTAGTAGTAGTGGCAGTAGTAGTTGTAGTGGCAGTAGCCTCGAGGAGTCTTTTAAACATGCTTAATCTAGTTTACTAGACCGCAAATTAGGGCCTTTTTTTATAAAAAAAAAGAAGAAAACTTTCAAGTAAACGTTTAAACCAAATCAAAATCCGGTTTTCCTCCTCCCCATCCCCTCCCACCTCCCCCCGATTTAAATTCCGTCTTTTTTATTATTTAATTTCTAATGACACGAAAGTAAATTATTAAAGAAGGCGCACGTTCGCGTGTTTCATTTTAATCTTATTCGTTTTTAATTATTTTTCAGGTAGCGATTATAACAATAATAATAATAATAATAATACAATAACGGATACGGATAATAAAAATTCAACTGGAGAATTTATAAAAAAAGAAAATGATGATGATGATGATGATAAGACGACGGGAGAAGTAGGAGGAGGAGGGTCGTTAAGCGATCTCAGCGATATATTATACGATAAGGGTACCCATTTTTTAATGACGCACGATATGGAAGTTCAACTTCCGGAAATGTTTTTCGGCGGTGGATCAATCAAATTAGAACCTAAATCATACGTCGAAGGAAACGACACGGAAGAAGAAGGTGCTTTGGTTAAAATCGTTTTTAAACCTCCGTCACCGCCTTCTCAGGTTGTCAAAGGAAGAGTCTTACATCAATTGAGTAAGTGTAAAAAAAAAATTTTATTCTCACCCCTCACCTCTCCGGGACCGCGCGACGAATTTAAAAAATAATAATGATGATAAAACAAATTATGCGAACACGTACGTCAGTGCCCCCCGCGCCCCCCACTCTCCCTCCATTTCTTTTTTAAAAGGGATTTTGAGTTTTTACGTATAACGAACCGATGATGACACGTGACAAATATTTAAATTTATCAAACGAAAGTTTTTTTTTAGGCAACAAGACGAATTCCCGCCAAAAAAAAATTTAAAATTTATGGCTCGATTTTGTTTTGTTTTCGATGCCAATTATTCTTTCTCTCTCTCTCTTTCTCATTTATTAAACGAAAGTGAAAAAAATTTCACATATCTGTTACTAATAAAAAAAAAAAAAAAAAAACGATCATAAATATTTCGAAAGTTAATTTGATGGGATCCGTTTTATGAAAATGCGAACATAAACAAAAACATAAACAAAAACAAAAACAAAATTGATTCACTTTTTTTTTTTTTTATCGTCTGCTCCTTTTACTCGAGTAAAAGTCGTTCAGTCATTTTTTTTTTTGAACCCGAAGGCAAATTAAAATGAGTTTAACGGCTATGTAAAAAATTTAATAAAAATAAACCGGACGAAAAATTCAATAATAATAATTAATTATTGTCGAAAGTTGGCGACACTGATCGAATATCTCATACGTCATTAAATGTTAAATTTTTTTTTTTTTTTTCGAACGAGTTTTGTAGGCATTTTTTTTTTTTAAGAAGTAAGAAAGATAGAAAAAAACGAGAAAAATCAGTTACCAACATAATCATCATAAGTTATCAGTGTTACCAACATAATTAAATTAAAAATTAATAAATAAAAAAGTTAATTAATTCAATAATAATAATAATAATGAAATTTAGGTCGGTTCATTATCGATATCGTAACATTCTTGTATAATTTTTAATTTTTTTTCCATCTTCTTTACAAAAACTTCCCACGTATCTTCTTCTTCTTCTTATTTACCGGTTAGTTCGGTTGGTTTCCGCATTCTACTGCCACGTAAATTTATTTATTTATTTTAATAATGACGTCAATATCAATATGATGAATATTATTTATCGCTCGTATTAACCTTAATTATTTTTAAAGATTTAATCGTTGTTGGAAACGGGGAGGGTGGTGGTGGTGGGGGGAAACGATTTTCCAATCGGTGAATGACTAAATCAATCAATCAAATATATTTTAATAAGATAAATAAATAAACGAGAATAAAACGTTGGTGTAAAAAAAAAAAAAAAAAAAAATTGGACGATTATCAGGTCGCGTTTATTCACTTGCTACCACTCTCTCTCTCTCTCTCTCTCTCTCTCTCTCTCTCTCTCTTCTCCCTACCCCCCTCTCTCTCTTTTATAAGGTGAGAGAGTAGAACACGACGTCACATTTACGAAAAAAATAGAAAAGAAATCATTTTCGATTATTTTCACGTAACCAAGTAAGTCGTCGACCCGAGGACAAAACTAATAAAAAGCTTTACAACCGTTTCAATGTCAAGGTCACGTTTAAAAAGAGGTCAACGCGTAACCCGATAAGACGATAACAAACAAACAACAAACAAACAAACGAAAACAAAAACAAACCGATAATTTATTTATGGCGATCCGGATTTTCTTTCCTTTCCTAATTTTTTTCTTTTTTGTTTGTTTGTTGACAAAAGGAAAAATATACAAATGAAGGTGTTTTATTATCATTATTATTCGACAAACGTTTGTACGATATACCTTGTATGACGACGACGACGACGACGACTTTTGCATTCCAGGTATATACAACTGGACTGAATTTTTAACATGGAATCCTTTCCTTTCACGTCTTCTTTTTCTTTCATTTCCAGATGGTCGTTGTCACGAATGTGTGAGTGTGTGCGCGGGCGAGTTTAAAAAAAAGTATTATTATTATTATTATTAAAATGTTTTTCTCCGTGTTAGGTTTCTTTCACTTTTCATTCTTTTCCTTTATATTCATTCTTCTGTTTGTTTCGATTGAACGCCTCATCGAATTTACTATTAAGTAGAGTAGATTAAGAAGAAAAAGAAAAAAAAATTTAAACGTTTCACGGTTTTAAACGAATTTTTTTTTTTTTTTTTTAAACGTAAAACCAGACATATTATTATTATTATTATTATCATCATTAACTGACGCGTAATAAATTTTTCAATGTTAATAATAATAATCGTTGTAATTATTTTTAAACTCGCGAAAGTCATCATCATTGTCGTTGTTAATGTTTCATTAAAACGCGCCTGGAAATATACTTTCCCCATTTTTTTTTTTTTCTTTTTTTTATGCGTGTACGTATTTTCTTTCTTTCGATATATCGATGTATCGTTCGAGTGTAAAACGAAAAAAAAAAAAAAAATCAATGGAAATTTTTTTAAATTTTATTAATCGTAGCGGTAGATTTTCAAGGTTCGAAAAAAAAAAAAGAATGAAAGGTAAAACAACAACCTGTTCTTAAAGTAGATCAACGACCGAATGCTATTACGTTTCTACTACCACCACCACCACCACCTCTACTACTACTCGTATCGAAACGAGTTTTGTTTTTCCTTAATGACAGACGACCTACATTGATACCGGACGTTGTCCGGTTGGTTGCAATAAAAGGTACACACACACGACAAACAAAACATTCCTGACTGGAATATGTGTGTGCGTGTGGATATGCGACTAGCATATCAATTCATTTTCAAATGTCCTTATGAAAGTTAAGGTTAAGGTCTCCTCCATATCCCCTCCCCTCCCCTCTCGACGACGACGACGACCTTCGTACGTATCATTTTATTATTGACCTACCTACCTACCTACCTATCTATACCTACGTGTAATCGTTTTTTCCACCTTTCTTACTTTCATTCATTTATCATCACTTTTATTTCCTTTCTCCTTTTTTCGTTCTCATTATAACTTATTTTTTCTAACGTTTTAAACCAAACAAATAATAATAATAACAATAATGATAATGATGATTTTGTTTTTTTTTCTTTTTTGCAGAGAAATTATTTAAAAAAAAATTAATGCATAGTTTTATGGCTTTAATGCTCGTTATTAAAATGATTAAAGTCAAACTCATGTTTCTCCTACCCCTCATTATCGGAAAAGCAACGGCTAAAAAACTTTTACTTAAAGTTTTACTATTTTTAATACCTGGATTAGCTCATCTATTTAAATTGTGTCATTATTATCATGCCGAACATGCCAAATATCATCATCATCATCATAAGGTATTTTGAACGAGTTTAAATATGGAAAAAATTGATTTTATGTGTTTTCAATAAAAAAATATGTATTTTCAGATTAAACATCATCATCATCATATAAAAATACCCGTACCGGTACCTGTACCGATTCACGTCGATCATCACAATCATCTTGATGGAGGTTTACCTTATGGTCCTCCATCAGGCGGAGGTTATGATTATCCTCCTTATCCGCCACATTCACCACATCACACGTCTGGTAGGTATCACCTTCCCACTCACTCACGCACTCACGTGGCATTCGCCTTTTTTTAAAGTTTCTTCTTTTTTTTTTTTATAAAGCTTCAGGATCTGATTATAAGGATTACGATTCGACGGGAGGTGGAGGAGGTGGATCGGGTTACGGTAACGATTATGGTAGCGTAACTCATTTCGGTGACAACGAAGCTCATTTATCAAGTTGGGGCCTGGGTTCGAACATACACGAAGCCGGAGTTTTAGATGCTAAAAATCAACCGATTTACGTTAGTTTTATTCTGTCTCTCTCTCTCTCTCTCATTTTGTAAAGCAGAAGACAAAAAAATTTTAATTTGTTTACAGTATAAAAATCATCCATACGCCGGTGGATACTATCCCCACGATGCTGCAGGATCACACAGTCAAAGATATACTACTAAATTACAATTGTTAACACCGAGACCACCGGATGGTGAGTGCGAAAATTTTCTTTCTCTCTCTCTCTCTCTCTCTCTCAATATTAAACCAAAATTTTTTCTCTGTCGTTTTAGGTTCCACTGTGTCCGTTGCGTCGTCACCTCCCGTACTACCAACCTACGATCCATTTTACAGTCCGATATTGCAAAAAATAGATAAAATATTCAATCGTTTGGGTTTCAACGACGAACCGTGTAGGGAAAGGTTAATTTGTAGCATGTATAAGACGCCTCATCGTTTTAGCCCTCACAGTAATTTACTTTCACACGAATTAAGTCGGTAAGAAAATTAAAAAAAGGTCGCTATTATCATGATGATGATAATAGCGCACACACATAAATCATTTTGCGTGGGAAAAAAAAAAGTTTATTGTGCGTGAGTGAGCGCGTGAGTGCGTGCGTGCGTGACACCAATTTTTAATTTTTCATTCATTCATTCATTCATCTTTTTGTTTCAGGGATGCAAAAGATTTACAAAAACCCGTTGCGAGCAATCACGCCGTTCTTCGCTTTTACAAATACGTACAAGCAGCAAGAGATGGACAAGATAAAAAAGATTGTCTTCGTTTGTATTCAAGATGTCCGATAAATACGGAATGATAGTTAATGTAATAAATTTTTAGTTTTTTGTAAATAGTACAACTGGGTAGTAGCAGAAGAAATTAGATGAACGACGGTCGCGACTTTAGACGTTAATTAATTAAAAACCCGGACGCGCGGTCTCGACGGTTATTTATTTATTAAATTATTTATTTATTTATTTATTTAATTTATTGTAAAATAAAAAAAGAAAAAATTAATAGAGATCGATAAAAGGAAAGAAAAAAGTAATTGAATAAAAAAAAACGTTGTTTTGTTGCGAATTAAATGTCGTCGTGATTTTTTAAAAAGTTTTGTTAAACATTTGACTGTGACAACAACAACTACAATTACAACAACAACGACAAACACGACGACTTCAACGGCGACAACGTGTAATCATCAAATTATTATTATTATACTTGAAATTTTTCTTTCGCGCCAAAATTTAAAAATAATTGTTAATTACATACATTATATACTATATTCGTATTATCGATCGATCGATCGATTATCAATTTATTTATCGATTCATTGATTTTTTTTTTCTCTCTCTCATAAATTTCCGTTTTAACGGTTACGATTTGCTCAAAAAAATGTTTTTTAAGAGTAAAAAAAATTTAAAAAAAAATATGACTGATTAAGAATTTATTATTATCATTATTATTATTATTATTTATAATTTATTGATTGTAAAATGAAAAATTATTTAATTTATTATTATTATTAATAAATAATGAAAAGGAAAAAAATTTATAGTCATTCATACGTGATAATAATTTTTTTATTATTATTAGGTTATCAATCACTATTATTATTATTATTATTTTCACTCATAATCATGACGATTCGTCTTGGTGTTTGGGTCGGAGGTTTTTCAACATTTATATTTCAGGTTTCTACCAGCTGATCTTTAAGGATAAATGCCTGAATATCAGTGGTGCTGCTGCATGCCTGATGAGTAAGTTTCCTCTTGTTATAACCTATGACATCACCATAAGACCATCTTATTCGATGGAAACATGTTAATTCCTGTACTGAACTCCAGTCAGTGACTGACATCTGTGGAGTGGAGCCAGGAACAGGGAAAGTGAGATTCACATTCTTTTTTTTTTTTTTTTTTTTTTTGTTAACCCAGGAGAAATGCAGATTACGCACTAACCCCTCCGAAGAGGGAGAGTGGGGCTCGGCATGGATCGAAAAGAAAGCCTAAACGGGGACCCATACCCACTAAAACTCCTGGGCATGTCGCTATAGCGTGACCTGTATAGAAAGGGGGGGAGACGCTCGTGGGAGTATAACCTACATTTCAGTCTCCCCTCTCCGGTAGGTCAGAACATTAGCCGTTCCACATGACCGCTTTTGGGGAGGTCCGAGAAATTTTAAAAGAAGACTCACCGACGACAAAGCTAATCGAAGACGCCGTCATTCTCTTCTTCTTCGTTCTCCTCCTCCTTCTCGTTCCGACGACGACGTTTCTTCTCCCTCGGCCGATGACGAAGGTCCGGAACCGCTTCTTCCGCCGCCTCTTCCTCTTCATCCTCTTCGCCTTCCTCATCAGCGGGATTTATCGTCCTTTTAGACCCTAACCTAACCTTAGACGTATCCTTAAACATATCCTTAGAACTAACCTTAATCCTATCCTTAGGCCTAACCTTAATTCTACCTGTCCGGACTCCGGACTTTTCGCGCTCGCGTTCGCGGTCCTCTTTCGTCAGAAAGACCGCTTCCGAAAATCGCGAAACGGCGGACCATTCCCGGGGTCCGCGAAGCAACGTGCTCACGAGGCCGCGGATCGACAAGTCGGGTCCGATGACTATGACCAGCCGCTGCCTCTGTTCGTCCCACGTGGGACATATTGCGACCCAGTGCTCGATGTCGTCCTCGGGCGCACCGCAAAACCAACACTCCGTCGTCGCCTCTCTGCCGATGCGCGCCAAGTACGAGCCGAACACTCCGTGGCCCGTGAGGACCTGAGCGAGACGGTAAGTCAAGTTTCCGTGACCCCGTCCCACCCACTCCCCCACTCGGGGACCAAGAACGTTAATTATTTCCACCCCGTATCTTTTTCGATTATCGACGAAACGCGCCTGCCACGATCGGACCGTGCGAACGCGGAGTTCCCTGCCGAATCGGGCTCCCCTCGGCCCGCCGCGACCCCGCTCGTGGTAGAGGACGAGTCTCTCCCCCGCGAGGAGATCGAGCGGGGGAGTTCCCGACAGAAGGGAAGCCACCTACGCCGCGACGTCCCTGTACGCCATCGACACCTTGTTCAGAGACGCCCTTTGGAGTTGGATAGCCCTCTCGCGAAGCGGCCGCGACACCGCCACCAATTCGGCTCACACCGGTGCTTCGTACAGGACCTGCCCGAATCACCTGACCCTCGCCCGCGGACCCCGCAGATTCGGCATCAGGCGCCCCAACGATGCGTTCGCGGCTCGAATCTTCGGTCCGAGGAGCGCGATGTGTTGCCCGAAGGTGAGACCCGAGTCGAAGGTGACAGACGACAGTGCCAGGCCGTTGGGAAGCCGATTCCTTGGACGGTGGAATCTGCAGCCTTCCGTTTTCAGCAGAGACACCCGGAGTCCAATGCCCGGGATGACCTCCACCGTCGCGCAAAGCCCCGTCTCCGCACGATCCCGGACCTTTGCCCACCCGCGACCGGTCGCGAGGAGCAGGGTGTCGTACGCGTAGCATATCAGAAAGCAACCTTCGGGAAGGACGGTCCGGGTGAGGACGCAGTCGTAGGCGATATTCCAGAGGAGCGGTCCTAGAACCGACCCCTGGGGCACGCCGCAGAAAACGTCCGCCGTTTCCGTCGTTCCGTCCGGCTTCTCGTACGAAATCTTCCTCTCCGAGGGGAAGGACCCTATCACCGACACGAGATAATCGGGCACGGACTTCGAAACCAGACCGTCCCGTATCGTGAACCACGGAACGGAATTGAACGCGTTTTTAACGTCTATCGAAACCGCGATCGCGACTCCGCTCCGGCGCAGTGTTTCCTTGATGACGTCACGAATTCGAGCGAGCGCGTCGATAATTGTACGGAAGCCGTATTGATTCGGAGAAAGATCGTTCCTTCCTCCGTCCGCCCCCATGTGACCCATTATCCGCGACGCCACGACGCGCCCGAACAACTTACCCTCCGCGTCGAGAAGGCAAATCGGCCGATAAGCGCCGGGCGCCGACGGGTCCCTACCCGGTTTTTCAAGCAGCACGAGGTTCGCTAACTTCCACTGCTTCGGAAACGACGCCCCCGAACACATCACCTCGACAGATTTGCCGAGGAATCGATCGGGCCCAGAGCCGAGCGCTTCTTGGAGGCCGCGTCGAGGAGGATGCGAACCTTCCCCTCGGTAACTCGGTCGCGTTCGCGGTCGAAGGCGAAGTCCGCCGGAGGAAACGCGTAGGGCGCGACGCGCGGGAAGAGCTCCGCGATGACTTCGGCGAGAAACTCCCGTCAAGCCGGCCGTCAACGGCTCCCGACGAACTCCTCAGCTTCTTCGTCACGATATGGAACGGAAAACCCCACGGATCCGAGTCGACCTCGCTCAGGAGCTCCTTCCAACTCTCCTCCTTCGAACTCCATATCGCTCGGGGAACGCAAACCCGCGAAGCCCGCCACTCCGCTTTAAGCCCCAGCAAAGTCGAATCAGTCACGATTTGTTCGTAATCTCCTCCGCGGCGGAGGAGTTCGCGTTTTTGTTTCCCGAACCGACGACGGGCGAGACAGGACTCTTTCCACAGCTCTCTTATCTTGTCCGTCCACCAGTATTTCGGCCACTTGCGCTCGTTCGATCGCGAACCGACCCTCCGCATGCATAAGTTTGATATTCGATGCAAATCGCCCCGGATCGCCCGCGCCAACTCGTTGGCGTCGTTATTACCCGAAAAATTGGCCCTTCGCCACGACTCCACGGCGAGACATTGGACGAGCCACTCTTCGTCCATCGACCTCAGGCTACACCGAGGACGCGAGGACCGCCGGACCGAGAGGCAGCCCCCCCCCCCGAACTCCGAGGAGCCCCGAACGAGAACGCCAGGTAGGGTGGTTGCTCAGAGAGTCGAAATCGGAAAAGACCTCCCAGCCGGAGACCCACGCCGCGGCCGCGACGGAAGAAACCGTGAGATCGATCGCGGATTCGCCGGTGGCCCGCACGCAAGTTTTAGTCTCTCTCTTGTTTCGCACGAAGAAATGACGCGAATCGAACAACCACTCCTTGAGGAGTCGGGCGCGCGCGTTGTTCGCGTATCCCGACCACGGAACGTGCTTCGCGTTGAAGTCGCCGCAGACGAGAGTAGGAAGGGATCCCTTCCCCCCAAACCGATCGATCTCCCTCGCGAGCGCGTGCAAGAAATTCTCGAACTGGCTGACGGGACGATTCGGCGACGCGTAAGCGGACACCAGAACCGCGTTCCCCCATCCGACCAGAACGAAACCCTCCCCCTATGACAGCTCTCGAGGCCTTGGCGCACGAGCCGAGTTCGAGAATAGTATCGCGGCCGCGCCATCCTCGGAACCGAACCAAGAACCGTCGCGGCTTTCCCCCCTTTTCGGAACGACGTAGGGTTCCGAAATCATGACGACGTCGACCCCCCGCGCGGCCACCCGATTGAGCAGGAGATCTTGCGCACTCCTGCAGTGATTCAAATTGACTTGGAGAAACTTTGGGCAGAGCCGTTCGTTCTCGGTTCGCACGAAGAAGCTCCCCGCGTCTCACCCCCCTGCACCCCAGTCGCACCCCAACGGATGGTTCTTCCCTTGACCGAAGGCGCTGAGCACGAAGGACCGCCCAACCGGTGATTAGCCGGACGGCCGGTCTCCGAGCAAGCTGCGCAACGAATGGAGTTCGCGCAATCGCGCGCCCGGTGCCCCGTCCCTCCGCACCTGAAGCAGCGTTCCTGCGCTCCCTCTACCCTACCCTCGAACTTGGGACACCGCGCGCCCAGATGCTCCGGGTTGAGACACCTGAAACACACGGCCTTTTGCTTCGGCGGGAGAACCACCCGCGCTCTGACCCAACCGACGGTCACCTTGCCCGTCTCGAGGAGGACGGACGCGGCGGCCGCGGGAACGGACGCGAATCCCAGTCGCGGTCGTGCGCCCCCTCCGACCGGAGGACGCACCAATACGTCGGAAATGGGACATCCGCCCGCCCTGGACAACGCGAGAGCGACGTCGTGCGACGTCGCGGACTCGCAGAGATCCTCGACGCGGAGGTCGGCCCTTCTCGCGGGGCACGTCGCCGTGACCCCTATCGGCCCCACGACCCTCGAAAGCTCCGCGGCCAGCTCCGCCGCCTTGGCCGCCCTGTTTTTCTCCTTGATTTCGAAAACCTTCCCCCCGTTCGCGGACGGACGGATCCTGAGGGAGTCGATTCCTAACTTGGCGAGATCCACGCGATCCCTCGCGGCGGCCAAGACCTCCGCGAAGGATTTGGTACCCCCGTTCCTGTTCAGCACAACCGCGGCCGTCCGCGGCGTTTTTATTTTTCGTGCTGAAGCGGCAGCCGGAGCCGATTTCGGCTTTTTCTCCTGGGACTTGGTGTGCTCCTGCACCTCTTTCCGGGAAGGAGCTGGAGCGGATTCATCGATTTGCTTCCTCTCGCCTGCAGCGACTCCTTTCGCACGCTTTCCTCCCTTTCGCGGCCGCACCGCGACGAAGCCGTGCCGCCGGCGCCGCTCGATGGCTTTCCCGTCGTCACCTTTGCCACCGACGCAAACGTCGGCATATACGACCTCTCGGGTCGCAGCGCCTTAGGCGAGGTGGCCGCGTCCCGGGACGCAGTCACCTCCCTCGCATTCTCGTTGGCTTCTGACACAGCCGTCTTTTGTACGTCCGCCCTTCCCCCCGTCCCTGAAGAGGCCCAGTTCTCCTCCTCCCGTCTTTCCCCTTTTTTCAACTTCGTGATCTGGCTACGATCCAGAGCGAGTTCCTTTTTCAGCGCCGCCACGCGGGCGCCGCCCTTGGAGTCCGCGACTCTCCCCGCGAGCTCCCGGACGGCCGCCATGACAAACGCCACCCCGTCCTTCATAATTTTGACATGACCACCCTTCAGGTTTGAAGACCCCCGAACAGCCGCGAGAACGCAGCGAGCCGCGTTCACCGTAGCATCAGTGATCTCGCCACCCTCCAGGCGAGCAAGACCTCCCTTCCTGATCACGGGAAGGCGGAGCACGGCCTCCTCCGCAGCAGCCTCCTTCTCCGCCCTTCCGCGCTCCTCCAGCCGCGGACGCCCCTTCGGTCTAGAGGATATGACAATACCCCCCAGATTCCTACTCAAACGCACAAGGGCCCTTCCCGGGCAACCCTTCTCGTCGACTACCATGTCGACCATCCGCCCTCCCCTGGACGGAACACTACTCGCGGTAGAACCCGTTCCCGAACCCGTTCTCAAGGTCTTAGTCCCTTCACCGGCCGACGCAGGCTTCGGCATGGTCTTCGTCATTGCAGTAGGGGGTAAAATGAGGCCTTCAGTCGAGGTGATGAGACCAAAAACACTCACGCACACACCCACCGACTACTGCAAAAACGCCTAAAAATTCCGATTAGGCAACCGGGGGTACACTGAAATATGTTGGTTATGCAATTAGCAATACACAAATTGCTAGTTATGCAACTTGCAACACTGAATCAAAATTTAAAAAAAGGCCAAATTTGGGCCAAAAATCGAAAAATGGAAGCGGCTGCTCGCGATAGAGGACCAGTCCCTTCATTGCGAGGAGATCGAGCACGGGAGTGCCCGACACAGGACAAGCCACCTCTGCCGCGACATCTCTGTACGCCGTCGCCACCTTGTTCAGAGACGCCCTTTGGAGTTGGATGGCCTTCTCGCGAAGAGGCGGAGCTGTCGAAACCGACTCGGCCCAGACCGGAGCTCCGTACAGGGCCACGGAGTGAACGACCGTCGCGTATAATCGTCTGACCCTGGCCTGCGGACCGCGCAGGTTCGGCATCATGCGTCCTAACGTCGCGCTGACGGCTCGGATCTTCGGTCCGAGGTCCGTTAGATGTTCGCCGAAGCAGAAACCGGAGTCGAGAACCGCAGAACACGTCCGCCCTTCCCGTCGTTTCGTCGTTCCCATCGGCCGACGGCGATCGTGACGCCGCCTCGGCGGAGAGTGTTCCGAATTCCGGCGCACACGCGGTCGAGTGCATCGGTCCGCCCGGAAGCCGTACTGATTCGGAGGGAGGAACGACCTCTCTACGTTGCGAAGGCAAATCGGTCGATACGCACTCGGCGTCGTCGGATCCCTACCCGGTTTGTCAAGTAGAACTAAGTTCACCTCTTTCCACGGAGTTGGAAATGTCGCCTCTCGGAAGCTCGCGGTGTATAGCGCCGAGAGACACGCACACAGCACTCCGGTGGACTCGCCGAGGATGCGGTAATGCACGCCGTTCGAACCCGGAGCCGAGCACCTCTTCGAAGCCACGTAAAGGAGGAGGCGAACCTCCCCCTCCGTAACCGCGGCGTCGCGAATTTCGTCGCGAGGAAAATCCGCCGGGGAAACGTGAACGGTTCGGTGCGAGGGAAGAGCTCTGCGATCTTTTCTGCGAGAAACTCTTCCGTCACGCCGGCCGTCAGCGGTCCCGACAAACCCCTCAGTTTGTTCGTCACGAGACGGGACGGGAGAACCCACGGGTCCGAATCCACTTCGCTCAGGAGTTCCTTCCAACACGCCTCCTTGGAACTCCATATCGCTCGTCGGACCCGAACCCGCGAAGCCCTCTACTCCGCCTTTAAACCCGCGAGTTCGTCGTCATTCACGATGTCCTCGTAGCGTCCTCCCCGTTTGATCAAATATCTTTTTCTGCCGACGAACCGGCGACGTGCGAGCCAGGACTCCTTCCATAACTCTCCCAACTCGTGCGTCCACCAGTACTTAGGCCGTTTTCGCGTCGTCGAGCGCGAGCCGATCCTCTTCATGTAGGAGTCCGAGATCCGTCGTAAGTCGTCCCAGACTTCCCGCGCCATGTCGTGCACGCCTCTTCTTTCGGCGCCTGGAGCAACTTTGTCTCTTCAGGCCTCCGCGGCGAGACACCCGGCGAGCCGTTTGTCGTCGAACGATCTCAGGCACCACCGGGGCGGGACTACGCGGGTCCCGTGAGATGAGGAGGCTGACCCCCCGAGCTCAGAGGAGCCCCGAACGAAAACGCCACGTAGGCGTGATCGCTCAGGGACTCGAAGTCGGACAGGACTTCCCAGCCGGAGACCTGCGCCGCCGCCGCACCGGATGAAACCGTGAGATCGATCGTGGACCCGCCGGTGGACCGCACGCACGTTTTAACACCTTTTGCGTTCCACACGATGAGATGGCGCTTGTCCAACCACTGTCTGAGCAATCGGCCGCGCGCGTTGGTCGTGCAAGGTCGCGCGTTGGTCGTGTTCACGGCGCGTGTTTCGCGTCGAAGTTCTCGGACATGAGAATCGGACGTGCGTTCCCGAACCTATCCAGCTCCCTCGCGATTGCCCGCAACAAATCTTCGAATGCTCGCAACGGACAATTTGGTGACGCGTAGACCGAAACCAGAACCGAGTTCCCCCAGCCTGCTATCACGAAGGCTTCCCCGCGGGACAATTTCCGAGGTCTCGGACCCGGCGCCGAGCTCGAGAAGAATATCGAGGTCGAATTCTAGGTCTTGGATACGAATTAAGTGCCGGCGCGACAATTCCCTCCCCCCGACGGAACGACGTGGGGCGCCGGGATCATCACGATCTCGATGCCCCACATCCCTATCAAGTTAAGCAAGAGGTCCTGAGTTAAATTAACTTGGAGAAACCTCCCCATGCTCACGAGGAACTACCGGCGGAGCCGTTCGTTCCCGGCTGACACGCGGAGGCTGCTCCCCTAACGTTTCCTTTCGTGTTCCTGGTTTCGGATCCCCGCTGAATGGGCGTACCCCTGACGGCGTACCCCTGAGCGATCTAACGCCGTTTCCCCTCTTTCTTTGATATTGGGACAAGGCGAGCCTATATGTCCCGGATGTAGGCACCTAACACAGATGAACCTGCGCTTCGGCAGCAGGACCACCTTCGCGCGCACTTACCCAACGACATCCGCATTTCAAAAACATCGAAAAATTTTGACCAAATGTATCAAAAAAACATAAGATCCAAGAAGGTATACATTGGATTCCCGCTTAAAATAAAATGTGTGCCAGGTAAAATAAAATGTATACAAGGCCGTCCTACTTAAAGTAAAACGTAAACAATGGCGTCCTTGTGGAAAAAAACATGACCATGAAAATTTTCACAAAATTGAAATGTAAAACTAATGGCCTTGGAATCAAGGTCGACCTACTTAGAATAAATCGTAAACATTGGTCAAGGTCATTTTTAACCAAAAACATCGAAAAATTTTCTCTGATGTATCCGTGAAACATAATATCCAAGGAGGTATAGAATAAAGTAAAAAGCAACATTGGATTCCCGCTTAGAAAAAAATTTAAACATTGAATTTCCGCTTTAAATCAGGTGTAATTTATTTATTATTATTACTATTATTTTTTTTACATAAATAAATAAATAAATAAATAAACGTTTTATGTATTAATTTTTATAAGCGTTATATGCTAAATCTTGGCCGTAGGATGATGACAATGATGATGATGATGAGGATCTTCCGTATCCGTGATGTTCGACGTATGGATGATGAGGTGGTGGATGATGTTCAACGACTTGAGGCGGCGAGTGATGAGTCGGATAATGATAAACTTCGTAATTGACGACTTTTGGTTTGGCAAATTTAAATATGACCATAGCAGCGGATAAAACAGCTGATAAAAGTCCGAGAGTCAAAGCTTTCCATGTTTTCATAGCAATCAATGCAATCGCAAGAGGTACAAATACGGAGGCTTTGACTTTTAAACCGAGTAAAAATGGTATTATAACTTTTTTCATTAAACCCCTTCCTGAAAAATTAAAAAAAAAAATTTTTAGTTATAACAACCACAACACAAGAACAAACAATATTAATTTACCTTCTTCTTTTTCCTCCAATGTTTTTTTAGTTTCGGATGAAAGAGGCACGATAATTTCTTTGGGTACGTTATTATCAAAAAAATATTTAGGTACAAATGGAAATATTTCTCCGGTAACAAGTTCTTTGGGTAATTTTATTTTCAATTCGTGATTGTTTAAATAATTATCGATTTTTTCAAACATCAATAATCTGAGTCTTTCCTTTTTCATCATGTCGTCGTTATCGTTGTCCTTTGATAAATCATAAGAAGATGAAAAAGGTTCCGATCCCTATGGAAAACAAACAAACGCGCGAGCACGCACGCAAGCAATCATGAGATACGAGACGTTCAAATTTCAAAACGGTTTAACCAAAAAAAAAAAAAACTTACCTCCTTTGACTCATATGAAAATTTACCGCCATTTTTTTCAATTGATAAGTTATCAGTCAATGGTATTCTATCGTTTTTAAGTGATTCCCTTAAAAATTTTAAAAATTTCGGTTTGACGCACGATAACGAACCGTATTGAACGCAAGATTCGAAAACGTTACCGACGACATCGACGGCTGTCGTCTCTTCCGCCTCCTGACACGTCACGATCGCGACATAAAAAAAACTTAATAAAATAATACGAAAATAATATTTCGTCGTCATTGTTTGTTCGTTTGTTTGTTTGGTTGTTTGTCCTCTTGTGTTCGAACAACGAACCGTCACGATCTAAAACCCGTCGATAAATTTACGATAAATTTATATTTGAATTTTTTTTTTTTTTTCAAAAGCGAGCGATACGTGTTTGTAATAACAATTTTTTTTAAATTCGTGCGAGACGACAAACGACAAACAAACAAACGAACAAACGAACGAACGAATGAAATAAAAAAATCCGACACGATTAAACCATATAAAGGTATCCCGATTTTTTTTTTTAAATGGAAAAAAAAAACGGATTAGAAAAAAAAGGAGGTGAAACGCTCGCGATTCGAATCCTGAAGGAGGGAGGGGGATGATGACGTAATACGACGGGGAAAATTTTTCCCTGTTCGAAAAGCTTTTTTTAAATTAATAAATTTTTGGTCATCGTACGTGGTAAAATTTTTATCAATGATATTTTTTTTCACGATTTTTCGAAAATTTCACGACGACGCGTTTTATTCCGACATTTTTTTTAAAGAAGGCGGTGGCAGAAACGGCAGAGGTGGCGGAAACGGCAGAGGTGGCGGTGGCGGTGGCAAATTTTTATTAATTAATTTTAAAAATGAAAATAAATTTTTTTTTGTCGGTTTCATTTTCAGACCTAGTTGGCACAAGTTTTTATTGTCCTCCTTCGTGTTTGTTCCCTTTTTTCTTTTTTTTTTTTTTAACGGGATTCGAATTCTTCTGCTTTTTTTTTGCGTAAAAATTTCAAAAATTTTTTCCCGCCAATTTTCATAAACAAATTCTTATCATCATTAATTTACAATGATAAACTTTAATATTGAAAAAAAATAATGTCATTTATATCCGTTTGTGAAATTTTTTTCGTTTGTCGAAAACACTTTCCTTTTTTCCTTTTCGATAAATGTGAGATCGATAAATCGATATATCGATGTCCTTGAATAATAATAATAACCTTTGAATAATTTTTTAAACGACAACACCATACACAGACAACAACAAAAAAAAAAAGAAACTTCCGATCTAAATAAAAAAAATTTAAAAAAATTTTTTACTGGAGCTGGAGTGGGGCCAATGAAAAACAATAAAAGCATTTGTTAATAATCGATAACTGTCAGTTTAATATCAGGTTCGGGTGTTGTTCTTTTGACGACGACGACAACAACAACAAACAACAAACAATCAACAATCAAAATGAAAAGTTTTATCGGTTTGATTCTAGCGTTTGCCGCTTTATCTTCGGCTCATCCAAAGTTGGTAAGTTTTCGTTTCTTTTTTTTTCTTTTCTATTTCCGGCGGAAATTATAATGAAAATTATACAGCAGGATAAAATTCCTCCTTCTGATTCTTTCTGGAAGGACACCAAAGTCGAAGGACTCGTTAAAAATTATCAAAGAGAATGTCAGGATGATAACAACGTATTGTCTTGCATGAAATACAAAATTTTAAATTTTTTAGATCAGGTTTTAAATTTGGAATCCATACGTCAGGTTAGTGTAAGAAACCTGATTCGCGACCGGAAATCGGAAAACGATAATTCAAGCCGGAAATAGTTAAATCAGAATTTTTTTTCCACTTTTTCGACAGGTGTCAGAAAATGTCGACGACGTGTTAAATAATCAACAACAAATTCAATATGGCCGATCGGATAAATCTGACATGGATGTTTTGGATCAATTGACGGATTATATAAAATCTCACGAAGACGTTGTTGCCACACTTCCGGGTGATTATTTACAAGGTACGACGTTGACCATGTCACCGAGAAACATCGACGATAACGAAATTAATTTCAGTCTTAAATTCGGCGATGAAAAAAGAGAGGGAAAATCAAACGAACCGGAAGAAGAAGGTACGTTCGTGTGATGTGACGTCACGAATCCAATCCTTTACTAAAAAAATTTAATTTTTTTTTTTTCCCCGGTTTTTTCAGGTAGGAAACACAAGTTGAAAAAAGTCATAGTTCCCGTATTGGTTTTCGTACTATTGAAAGCCATGACGTTGGTACCACTGGCACTCGGTGTCCTCGGTATCAAAGCCTGGAACGCTCTCCAACTCAGTTTCTTCTCCTTCGTCATATCTTTGGCTTTGGCCGTTTTTCAACTTTGTAAAAAACTCGCTTCCGATCATGGTTCCGGACACGTTCTCGCACACGGTCCGTGGGACAGTTATCAGGCAGCACATTATGCCGCACGATCCTTATCGTCGACGGATGCTCAAAACATGGCGTACAACGCACACTCTCAATCTTAGATGAATTTTTTCACCTTACCTCTTTTTATTTATTTATTTAAACCAAAACAAACGAAAACAAACGAAACAAACGTTAAGACTGACTGACTAACTTAGAATGGACGACGACGACAGCTGACCGATACGCAATGTTACCAACATCACGACAATTTGTAATAATAATAATAATTTTTTTTTTTTTTTTTTTTAAACGTGTCAAAATATAAACAATTAATTTTATAAATAAATAATAATGATAATAATAATAATAATAATTCGTTAATTTTTTTTTTTTTTTAAATAAAAAAAATCCTCGCAATTTAATTTTAATTTTCACCACCGACGTCGCCCCAGTCAAAATTTGAATTTTGAAAATTTATTGATGTCATGACGTCATTCGTTCCCACGTAAAAAATGGATTTTCATTCATTCATTCATTCAATCAATCCCGTCGATTGATTTTTTTATCGATTAAATATAATAATAATAATAATAATAATAAAATTATCGCCGTTTTTTTTTAATAAAATCGATATAGTTTAGTTTATGTAAATATAATTATGTCGTCGAAGAAATATGATTCGAGTTTGTCATATGTTTGTTGTTTTTGTTTTTTTTTTTTTAAAACTAATTTTTATTCGTGGCACGAATTTTATTCTATGTCAAAAATTGACGTGTCATTAAATAAAAATTTTATCGTAGTCATTTTTACTCTTGTGCAAAAGTTAATTTTTTTTTAAAGTTTTTTCTTTTCTCTCTCGTAAGTTTTTGATAAAATTTTTCTTTTTCTATTTTTTTTACTTCCGTCCATTTAATAATAATAATAATACGTAAATAAATTTTGAATGAATGAGATTGATTGATTGATTGATCGATCGATAAATCTACGCATTAATTGCAATTAGATTAATAGCACGATTGATAATTTAAAACGCAATTAAATTTTTTTTTTTTCCCCCCTCGGAAAAAATTATAAAAATTGTTTGTTGCTCCATCCAACCTTGTTTGTTTGTTCCTCTTCTTCTTCTTACATTGTTCAATCCGTAAAATTAAACAAAATCCAAAAGAAAAAAAAATTTAAGATGAATTTAGTTAGTATCATCATCATCATCGTTGAATCACACAATCAGGCATTACCGTCTGTTTTTTTTTTTCCAACGAAAAATAATATCATCATCATCTTCTTATCACTAATATACGCGTTATCGCTTGTTTGTTTTTATCATTTTTTTTTTATTTTCGTTTGTTTTCGACGACGAAACACGCACAAACAATTCTTCTTCCTTTTTTTTGCGCAAGTTTCTAACACGAACGTTATTTAAAAAAAATAAAAACAAAAAATTATTTCTGTGTGTGAATTTTTTAATTCTGTGTTTGTTTATGACGTCATTATCAATATTATTATTATTATCGATGATAGAATTCGCGTTGGTGCAAAATTAAAAAAAATTTTTTCAAAAGGTGAAAAATACGCCGTGTCATTAGAAAAAATATTTTTTTTTTTTAATCATTATTATCTCTATACGGGAAAATTTGATTTTTATAGGAACGCCATATTGTAGGTAATAATAATAATAATGGAACGAGAAAACGGTCCACCCGTGTCAGTTGGAAATCCGACGAGTTCAAGAAAAGCATTAAGACAAATAACGAGCACTGTAAGGTAAGAATAACGAATGAACGAACACACAAAAAAAAGAGAAAGAGCGAGAGTGAGAGAGAGAGTGAGAGAGAGAGAGAGAGAGAGAGAGATAGAAAAGGAATTAAATGTCGTTTGTGCCAACAGGAAAATGTCGGAAGAAATGCTCGACACGGCAGAAGAAACAATCATCGATTTCATAACGTGTCCATATTGTACGGATTACATACGACCACCCTCCGTTTGTTGCGAAAGCGGTCACTTCGTTTGTCGTCAATGCAAAACAAACATATCACACTGTCCGACGTGCGGCACGGACAGGTATCCGAACAAATCCAATTCCGTTTTCGACATGATCCTCCGGGAAATATATTATCCTTGTTTGTACCAGGGCAACGGTTGTTCCGCATACTTCAAACACGATCAATTGCAAATCCATCAAAACAATTGCAAATTCAAAATGGAACCGTGCGTGTATCAATCCGAGGGTTGTAAAGTTTTCACGAAAGGACAAGACAATAAAATAAAACACGAAACCATTTGCGACTACGGCGTGCGGTGTAAAATCTACGGCGAAATAAATAATAAAATCCACGTGACGTGCACGTGGAAGGGTAAGAGAAAAGATTTGTTGAAACACGTGTCAACGTCACATCAATACGAATGGTCACCGCACGAAATCGTGTCGGACGTCGCGCTCTCCTGGATCCTTCCCCTCAATATTAATTTCGAAAAAATACAATTGATTCATTTGAAAGATTTCGACGAAATGTTTTTCTTCTATTCGAAAACAATTGAAAATTATCAACATTTCGTGGGGGTCCAATATGTCGGACACAGGGAGTCGTGGAAAAAATTCTTGTATTCCGTCGAATTCATTTACGAAAATAAAAAAGTCGGGTTCGAAGATTTGGTCATACCTCACACGGTTAAAAAAACCGACGACGTTTACGGTGCCAACAATTGTTTTTCCGTACATTTTGAATTTTTGAAAAAACATTTTCTCGCGGAAAGCGTCATCGATTGTCACGTTAAAATATTCAACAAAGACGAAAAGAAAAAAAATGAAAAAATCAAAAGGTGCGTTTCTCATTTCGATAACAACAGCAACAGCGGCAGCACCAGCAGCAGCAGCAGCAACAACAATCTCCCCGGAAAATCATCCTTTTGTTAAATTCTTTCGTTTTGTTTATAACATTAATAAAATTATTATCATTATCATTATCATTATTATTATTATTATTTGATTCATTCGACCGTGACTTTCACCTTCTCTCCATATTTTCTTTCGCTTCATCCTGTCGCGTCGTCGATCCGTTTTAAATATCCTTAAATGGAAAAATAAACCGGATGTGTCGAGGAGGTTTGTTGTTAAAATCCGGCTTATATTTAAATATTAGTTATTCGTACCGGAAATAGTTTCTTTTTTTTTTTTTTTTTTTTATCCAAAACGTTTAATTATTTAGATCGAAATTATTTTTATTCGATGCCGAACACGTTCACGTAAGACGCACGTCGTTTTTAAATATTATTATAAAATGGGGGGAAGGGAGGGGAGGGAAGAAGGGAGGGGGAATTAAGACGATGTGAAAAAACGGCCCAACCATAAATTTAAAAGAAAACCATAAATTTTTTTCTTCTAATTAATTCATCCTTTGAGTCAGTCCTTTGGGAGGGAGAAAAGAAAAAAAGTCAAAATCGATCGCGCTCTTACCCCTTCCTCCCCTCGGGAAAATGTCGTCCGTGTGAAAAACTTTCTGGGCGTTTGGGGGAGGAAGTGGAGGAGTGACAGATGATGACCGTCGATAAGTACGTACGAGCCGGCTTTGGGGTTGGTTTACGATGACAAAACGTTCAAAAGTGTTCGATGGTGACTTGATGATGACGTAGAGGGACGACGAAGCAGACGACGAAGCAGACGACGACGATGGTAAACAAACGAGTATCGCACATATGCCGTAATTGCATAAAACATTGACCGATAACATGTCCGATTAACCTTTTTTTTTCTTTTTTGATAGTAATCAATAAAAAGCGTTAGCAAGAAGGTGTGGCTTCACATAATTATTGTCAGTGTACCTGAGGACGGCTACCTATCGGAACATAACGCAAAAAAAAATTTACCGGCGAACGCTTTTCCATAAAGCGTTCAAAAATAATAATAATAATAATAATAACGTAAATACATATATACAACAAAGTGTTATTTAAAAAAAAAAAAAAAAAAATGTTTTTTTTCGGTTTCGTTATTATTTTATTATCGTCTGCTACCGTTCGTGCGGATTTTGATAATGACGTAAGAGTTGATTCCGTCGGATCACCATCATCAACTTCCGGTAGTGATGATCTTGTGGCTGTTGTCGCAAGAAATTGTTTGATGGGTACCGAACCCACAATGACGTGTTTGAGAGAAAGAGTTCTTTTATACGTCAATAATCTTTTGGGTAAGTTTTTTTTTGGTTTAACTTTCTCCTTCCACGTATATATTCCTCCATTTTGTTTTTGTTTTCCGACAGGAGTTCGAGATAATTATCAAGGAAGAAGTAGTAGTAGTAATTTATCCGATAAAAAAATGGATGCATTGATAGCGAAACGATTGAAAAAATTAATAAACAGTCACGAATTTAAAATTCAGCTCCCTAAGTTTCTTTTTCAAGAAGCCATTTTGACTTTTACACCGTCTAAGGGACTCGCTGATTTTAAAATTGATTTTCCGGAAGAAAAATCGTTACAGGCTGAAGGTAAAGAATAAAAAAATTTTTCACAAATTTTCTTCTTTTTTTTTTTCTTAATAAACATCCGTTTGTCGTTATGTTTTTTCAGGAAGAGGTCATTTGAAAAAAAAACTTCTTCTCCCACTTCTCCTCCTCCTCAAACTTAAAATAAAAGCGTTGACTCCGATTTTACTTTTGATAATTGGCATAAAAGCCGTTAAAGCTTTCATTATGAGTAAACTTTCACTTCTTCTCGTCATCGGTTTCATTTTATTACAATTATTTAAAAAAGGCGGTGAGTTTTTTTTCCCTTTTTTTTTAAAAAAATAATCTTTTCCATTTGTTTATCATGTGCCGTCATTTTCTTTTTAAAGGTATGCCTATGGCAATGATGCCTGCAGCCATGACGACCGAACCACCACCCGCTTACGGTCCACCCCAATCTCCGGCAACATACGGACCACCGGCTCCGAGTCCCGACACGACTTACGGATCTTGGGAACCGACGACCAGTAGCAACAACGGAAACGGAAACACTTACTCGAGGTGGGATTCTCATAATTTGGCTTACAATGCTCATCAACCCGAAGGTAAAACGTCACAACAACCGGGAATATAAAATTTTTAATTACGCGTGAAAAATAATCGTAAACCGGATATCCGGACCGAAACGGAAATCGATGAAATTCGTTAACAAAAAATCCACCAAAATAATTTTTTTCTATCTGTTTGCCTCAACCTTTCTTCATTAATTTATTAATTTATTTGTTAATAATAATTATTATTATTATTTATTTTTAGTTAATAAAATTTTAATTTATTTTTGTAAATATTTTTGCTTTTTTTTATCTGACGAAAATAATAATAATAATAAAAAAGAAAAAGTTTCTCGAAACATTTCCTCCTCCTCCTTTCACTTTTTCACGCTCGTGACGTCATCACACACCTCGCCATCCTTTGCAATGCTCTGGATCTTAATTCGAAAGCTTGTTCGATGAGTTTAACCGATATCTTCTGCTCTTCCGTAAAATGTTTTACCATTATATCCCTGTACATGTTACACGTGTTCAAATATTCTCTCCTGTTTTCTTCTTCTTTTTCGTCGACGCCTTTACACGACACGGTGAGAGTCAAATCTTGGGAAACGGTACTGCGAGTCTCCCGAACGGAATTCAAAGATTCCTGTACCAATTCGTATTTTTCCAACAAATCCTTCGTCGGCATCCGGGGTAAAATCCTCGGGGATCTCAAATACCTCGTTTCGGATTTATCTTTCGTCAGGTATGAAAAATTCGATAATTTTCGAAACATTTTGCTGAAATCTTCGCCTTTTTCTTCGTACCCGAGTCTCTCGCCGAAATCGTAGTCTCGTTCCCCGTAATATTCACCCTCTAAATTTCTATCTTTGTTGTATGCCATGTATATCTGATACAAGAACCGCTGTCTGACGTCACGTCCTCTCTTCCTCCGTCCCGGATCTTTTTCTTCCCACGATATTTTCATCGCTTTTATAGACTCCTGATAAGATTTATCTTCTTCGACGACGACCGCGTCCAACGGATTACTTTCGGATGCATCGTTTATAACTTGGAGTAACCAAAATGGATTTTCCATTACTCTACTTTGAAAACACCTCTTCGACGTTCTCGTGAGTTTTCTCCTACTTTCGGACGGTCCTTTTTTCAATTGCGTATTACTTCCCGTCTCCTTCCAAGACTCCCCGTTCACTCTCACCGGTTCGACCGTTCCCCATTCGTTTTTAGTCAATGGCCATGAATTATTAAGGGTAAAAGCTTCGAGAACGTACGTCGTGAAATCGTCGTCGGCTTCGTTCCAAAATCTATTCGAGAGGGGTGCGCTTTCCAAAACGAGCGACGGAAGCAAAACGGCTCCGTTCGTGCTCAAACATTCGACTAATTTCGAATTTTTTTCGTCTCCTTCTGACGTTTCGTCGCAGTGTCGACGATCCAGAGAAATAAAAACGACGAATTCGGTTTTTTCGAACGACGACGTCAACCTGAACGTCAATATGGTTCTCTTTTGTATTTTTATCAAGCACCTACACATTCTCGATTTCGAATTGGGTATGTATATATTTTTAACTTCGCTGACATCCAACGACGGCATGCCGTAGGGATGACACGCAAGACCCGACATCGTGTTGCAGAGATGAATCTCTTGAAAGTGTTTCATTCTCACCATTTCCAATCGCCAATTGACATTTTTCACGTTGGCATCGTTCCATCCTAATATCAATATGGTGTATCCTTTCGAATTATTGTAATAGTAGTAGGGAGAAACAGTGTTGGCAACCGAAAACAATTCTTTATTCGAATCGTTGTTCACTCCGATGACAACATACTGTTCCAAATTGCAAGAAAAATAGAAAGCGCACGGAACGGGTTCGGAAGCGTGGGTCGCTATTATAAATCTCGCCATCGGTATCCAGGCATAAGGGTCCGCGGAGGGTATCTTACCGTAAAATTCTTCCACTTCCAAAACGTTGGGAAAATCTTTGTGAAATTTAAACGTGTCCATGAGTCTCTTATCCGTCATCGCTATCAAACGTATTATTTTTCCAACTTCCAAATCTCTTTTTACCGGACTGAAAACAGCGTCGCATATTTTTTTCAATCTCTCCGCAAAGGGTTTGAATTCCTTTCGCGCGGGGGTTTGACGTTTCAACAACAAACGATACCTGTACCCCCGAAATATTTTCTGTATGTATATTATTTTTTTAATTTCTTCTCCCGTCCACGTATACGAAAGTATTTGCGAGAGAGATCTATGTATAACGGGAACGACGACGTTTTTCTTATTCGACTTTTTCGCTACGGGTCCGTATATGGCCTCAGGTTCTCCGGATGGCAAATCGCATTCTATAAACGGATTTAAAAAAAGAGACCTCAATGCTCCGACCATGATTCTCAATTCGTCCGTGCTCGGTATTAAATTCGTGAGCGACAACATTAAACAATTCAAAAACGTTTCGATGAATTTATCCTGTAGGGAATGATAACTGACGGCGGAATCGTTTCCGGGTTTTATGGCTTTGTAAAAATCTTTCAGTGCCGTCTTAAGGTCGGATTTACCAAATTTTTGCGTCAGAGATATGAAAGCGTTCGCGACGTTACCTATGTAACTTATTACGCTCTCGGATTCGTTGCTCATTAAGAATCGTATTTTCGGACCGCTGTGAAAAAACAAACGTGCGTTCGAATACACGTTCAACGTGTAAGGAGAATCCGAATTGATCCAGAGTTTTAATATGTGTCTCCCGGATTTCAAATTTAAACATATCGACGAGTTATCGATTGTTTTCGCGTATCCCAATAAATTACCTTGATGTAAATTTCTCCAGTCGTATTTTTCAACGAGGAGAGACGCGTGACCGATTTTCAATATTTCCCACTGGAACGGATCCAGGTAACCTTTTAATTTTTTCTTCTTTTCCGGATAAACCCAAAGTGAAAAAAAGATGAATATGTGAGTGAGAGACTCGCAATAAACCGTCACGGGTTGATTCAACGTCGGAGTCAGTTCCGGTGAATAAAAATAAAAATTTTCCGTTTTGTTCTGTGATGCTGCAGTTTTTGACGTCGTCGCAGCCGTCGCCGTCCCCGCTGTCGCCGTCTTCCCCGACGGATTATTTTTTTTTACGTTATCCGACAAACTTGATATTTTATACTGGTTTTCGCAAGTGTGAGGTTTGAGATATGCTGTCACGTTTATCAAATGTTTACAAACTCCGTAAAAATCTGACCATTGCAAGGGTTGAAACGTTTCGCTGCCTTCGATCGACGAAGGGGGTTGTTGTTGTTGTTGTTCTTCCGTTTCCGATTCGCCTTCTGGGATTGCATACAAAGTACATTCCTGACACGGATCCGGAGCCAACATCGCACTCAAATCCGGCGAAAACGTTATGTATTGTAATCGTCTGTAGGGTGGCAAAGACAATTCGTCTATCCAAATCCCTTTTTTTTTAGCCCAGTAAACCCATCTTAACCTTTTCCACGGTTTCGTGGGTTCTCGTTTATCGACTTTTATCAGCGGGGAATCCCTATTAGTCGTAAATATAACTGTCGTATCGTTTAAATTCGAATCTTCCAACGAAAAATTTCCCAAATCCGCCCATACGACGCAAAAAAACTTTTTCCAAATCGTTTCCGCCGCCGCCGCGGCAGCCGCAACCACCGCCTGCTGTTGTTTCAAACCTTCTCTTTTAGACGATCCCTTATTCGATTCGACGACGATCGTTTGATTATCTTTCTCCTTTCCCGGTCCCGGTTCGTAACGAGGAGTTAATATTTGAAATCTTCTCCATATTTGATCGTAGGTTTTGTTCGCCGTGTTCACGTTTCCCGGCAACCATCCCGTAAAACACGTCACGAGTGAAAAATCCATCAGAGAACATGTTTGAGATATAATTTTAAGTATTCCTTTCGCGAGTAAAATGGGCCAAAGCTCTCCTTCTATCTCGGTGACCGGAAGCATGCACAAACCGTTTTTATCGCACGGAATCCTATCGTCGACGATTATCTTTCTCCAGGTTCCAAAATAAAAAAGTCTCAACGCGTATTTTCCAAAGGGATGATAAACGGGTTTGTGTATTTGTCCTTTTCCCGCCTTGCACGATCCGTAGACGTGATGCCAGGGTTGCCAGGGTTCTCCCTGCGTCGTCGGTACGAATTTCGCCGATTCGAATTCCACGACGAACCCGAATTTTTCACCGTAGTATTTCAACATTTTTATGGTGTCTTTGAATAATTTAACGAAATCACAATCGGACACGATGGGACTCGGAACGGTTAACTGTTTCCAGGAATTTGTAGGATCGTAAACTATCAAATCCGGGTCCTTGAATACATCGAAGGGTTTTTTCCAATCGTAAACGTGTTCTCTCATGTAAATGGGGAGCGTGGGCGGACTGGGATCATCGAAGTAAAAATATTGCGTGTCGACCGTTGGTACGCTAACGTTGGTTTTAACGGTTTTTCCAGCTCCCGCCAAATTTTTTTTTACTTTTGGTTCTTCCCATGTTTCCGAATTTAAATCCGCATCGATCCATTCTGAGGGGTAAAAAAATTTTTTTTGTGACTCCTTTCGTTAACAGATATCATCATCATCATCATCATCATCGTCATCATCGTCACCATCCACCGAGACCGATATGAGAGAATGTTTACCTAAACGTTTCCAATAAAATTTGGGATGAAAATTTTTTTTTTTTTTTTTTTTCATTTACCACCGTTTATCATCGCCGCCATCATCATCGTCGTCACGTACGTCATAATTATTACGTAGGTATAAAAAAAAAATTCAAATATTTTTTCTCACCTGGGAAAGGGATTTCGGTATAAACTTCATATGAGGAATGTCCTACGTATGGATTATATAAAACTTCATTTCCATCGTTAAATGTTTTTTGTTTTGCAACGGATCCCGTTTTTGCCGACATGTTTTTTTTTTTTTTTCCTTTTAGAAAACTTTTTCCGTTTAGAAAACTTTCTTTCTTTCTTTTTCTTCGACTGAAAAAATATTAAAAAATTATTATTATTATTATTATTATTTACCGTCTCAACGCACGTGTGATAAATAAATAAAATTTAATTAAAATTCAATTCGCGAATAATTAATATTTAAATTGAAATTTTTTTTTTTTTATAGGAATTTAAAGAATTTTGTACTTTCGTTTATTTACGCTCCACATTTTTAAATCACGTTTGTATGAAATTCGCGTGACTGATTTTTTTTTTTTTTTTGGGGGGGGGGCATAAAAATGGGGTTCCTCAAAAAAAAAACAATTTAATAATAATAATAATAATAAAATTATAAATACAAAAAATCTATCACATACGTCATCATTTCCATAAATAAAGTGTGACTTTTTTTCTTTTTTCGGAATTAAATTTTGCCGTTTGTTGACACCGCGACACCGACAAACGAATTATCATTATTGAAAATATTAATCGTCGATCACGACGACTTCGATTTTTTCATTGTTTCCGTTTGTCGTTTGTTCCGATTCTCGACATAATTTTTTCGCCGCCGTCATTCCGCTCCCACATTCCGCACCGAATTTCTCCGGGTGACTCCTTTTTCCCCCGTCTCCCGCACTTTTTCGTCCCGTCGTGCTCAGATTGATGACTTGCGACGAAGATGACGACGGCGACGACGACGACGAACATTTCGTTATGTGAACTTCTTTCGATATGCTTTTTATTTTTTCCTCTATGGATTTCATGCTCGGGGAAGACGTCGGCGGCGGCGGCGGCGGGGGCGGCCCGGGAGACGCCGTCGGCGGCGTTTTCGTGATCGTCAACGACGGTTTGTTCAAAATATCTTCTATGTTGAAATTAGTTTTGGGTTTGAGTTCGTCGGATTTCGACGTTTCCGGTTTTTGATACGGGTTCGATGATTTCAACAGGGAATGAGATTTGCTCGTTTTCGTTTTCGTTTTCAAATTCATGCTTTGCATTTGACCGTAGAGGTTTCCGGCGAGGGAAAGATTTCCCCAATAATTCGCGAGCAATTGTTTGTATTTTTCGCTCGTGAAATCAAACGGATAATTTTGATAGGGGTAAAATCCAGAGAGAAAATTCATTAAATCCGTCGGTGATTTTTGATTCCCGTCCGATTTCGATTGTTCCAAACCCGTTTTCGATGACATTTGCTCCGCCATTTTTTTATCGGTTGTTTGTTCTCTTTGTTTCACGGAGAGCGTAGCCGTTCTCAGCATTTCCGCGTACATTTGAGCTCCGGCTAAATTCAAAGCCATCGAATCCGTTATTTTCTGTTCCATCGTGGGTTTAACCAGGGATGACCAAAAACTCGGATCCATAAACAAATTCGGTGGTAATCCAAGGTTGAATGGAGATCTTTTCTTAACCTCTCCGGATTTCTTTGGTTTCGGAGTTTTCTGAATGACTTTTGCCGTCATTTGAGGTTTCGGAGTCAATTTTTTCTTTTCTTGCTTTTTGGGTTTCGGTGGTTTTGGCGTCACGGGCACGTTGGGATTAAGAGTCTGAAATTTGAAAATTAAATTTTTTTCTCTCTCTCTCTCTCTTCATTTTTTCAAATTGAAGTTTTTTGTTTTTTGTTTATTACCTTTGGTACTTTAGTTTTGACGACGGAAACTTCGGATTGGCAAAATCTAAGTGCCTGATCCAGAGAGCATTTATCTCCTTTTCCGAGCCTTTTAAAAGCTTCCAACAAAATGTCTCCGTACACGGTTTCCTTGTGAGAATAATGTTTTTGAACTTTTTGGTAACACCGGTAACAATCCAAGACGATCGGTAGAGTCATGACTGTGCTGTCCTTGACATTTTTTCTTAGCGTTTGAATGGCTAAATCGCAAGATTGACTGGAAAGTTGATTCCGTTCATCTTCTCTTAAATATTTCCTATAAAAAAAAAAAAAAAAAGAAAACAATGACAATTATTATTATTATTATTATTATTATTGGTTTTAAACGATCAACGATGCTTACTTGTCAGGCTCTGGAGTTTTTCTTAATTGCAAACATATTTCCAGTAACATTTTATGATCTTTTAAATCTCTTAGGACTTCCATTAACAAAAGAACGCTTCGGCTCATGTGCGAAGCAAAACTTCCAGGACGATCTACGTCACCGGCAGGAATCCTCCATATTCCCTTGAAAAAAAAACAAAGAGGGGTGGGGGGTTACAATTAGGTTTTTTTGCTTCTTCACCAAGATGTAATGAGAGTGAGAGAGAGAGAGAGAGAGAGAAAAGGCTTACGTTAAAAAAATTTGTATTTTTCCTTTCGGCAAACAATCCAGGTATCGTACCGTTCGGAGTTTGATATCGACCGAGTAAAAGTTCTTTGCATTTTCCAATGTCCCGATGTTCCTTGGACCGGAAGTAAAAATGAGCCAAACGATAAACGGATTTGTAGTGTTGTGGAAATCTTAGGGCGCAAGTTTCGAAAGCTTGCAAGCATCTCATCAACATGCTACCTGCAAAGGGAAAAGAAAAAAAATGTATGAGTTTATCTCCAGTGTAACGACCGTACCCCCGTCGAGTGTCCCCCCCCCCTACTCACTCTCTGACAGATTCGATGAACCTTCGGATTTTTTATTATTTTCACCCATCGTAAAATTTTCCGCACGATTTCCCACCGATGATTTGTCTTTGTCGTTATCGCTGTGTTTGTCATCGTCATCCGTTTCCTTTGACGCATCTTTATTCGTGTCATCCGATTGAGAATGAGATGATTCGCTTGACGAACTCGAACTCGTTGCTTGCGACGAACCTGAAGAATCCGAACTCGTAGAACTCGAACTTGATTCGTCGTCGTTTCTTATTTCCCCGGAACCGCACGACGAACTCGTGACGCTATCCTGCGATTCTCTTCTCCTTTTCTTCCCTTTGTAACCACGCTGAAAACAATTTTACCAACTTTAGCACGATAATAATAATAATAATAATATTAAAAAAAAGCCAACAAATAAACACAAACCTGTTCTTCGTTTTTATATTCTTCCATTCTTTCGAAAAAATTATCCGACGGATTTTTAACGGATTTTTGTGACATTTCCTGTTCTTCGCTCGACGATGCATTATTGATTTCGTCCGTCGCTTCGTTGCCACCTTGTTCGTGTTCGGACAAAACTTCCATGGATTTATTCAAATCCGATCCTTCCATTTTTTCCTCTTCCGTATCCGCGATCACATCCGTTTCTTCGATAACATTTTCTTCGACGATTTTCGATTCGGAAAAATCGTCGTGAGACGATTTTTCCCCATCGTTATTTCCTTTGTCTTTTTCATTTTCCGATTCCAGTTTTTCTTTCGTTTCCGTCGTTTCCCCATCGCAAATACTTGTTTCCTTCGTAATCAATTTATTTTTATCTTCCGTGCATGAGAGTTTTCTCTTCTTCGATCCATTATTTTCATTTTCCGTTTCTATTTTAACAATGATGTCGTTCAAAACGGATTTGATTATTTTCAATTGTTTTTCCTGTTGCATTACTTCCAATTCTTTCGCTTTGGTTTTCCTGCATGAAACAAACGAATTAGTTGATTAAAATGAAATCGAAGGCGTATGCATGTATTGATGATGATGATGATGATGATGTGAACACACACTCACGCCAAATCAACTTTTGAAACCTGTTTGGCAAAAGGCCCTTTCGAACACATGTTCAAATGTTTATTGAACAACGCTCTCGTTTTCTGATCCAGCGGTTTCCCCTCCGTCAATTCCAAATTTTTTATTATGCAAACGTGAACCCTGTAGTAAACTTCCAAAGCTTCTATCGCGAGAGTTTGGGGTGCCGTGTAACCGACTTTACTCGGGAATTCGGCTTCGTTTTCGTACAGCAAATCCGCGGCTTTTTCGTAGTGATCGAAAAAATTCAAATCTCCATTTTTCTCGCATATTTTACCGAGCATGTAATGATGTAACCACCTTTCATCTTGACGTTCGTTTTCCTCTTTCACCTCGTACCTGAAAGTTTAAACAAAATAAAAATTTTTCCTTTACGGGCACATTTTATATTTTTCACCAAATTATTATACCAAATTAAATTCGCGTTCACGAAAGCTTGTTTGGCCGTTTCCAACATTTTATTCTTCGTCGATTCCAATTCTTCGAATTGTTCCAAACTCAAACTGAACGATTCCAATTTCATTCTTTGCGAACAAAACGAATGAATCGTGTACACGAACGAACCGTATTCAATCCATAAAGCGCATTGTTTATTGTCCAACTGAAGACAGTGTTCGTAACATCTTAGAGCCGACAGAGCACTTTGAAGAAAAACTTTTTACAAAAACAAAAAAAATTAATTTTTTGAAACTTTTGCTTTTTTAAAACTAATCAATTTATGTTTACCCTCGTCTTTGAGAGGATCACACGAATTCAATTGTTGTTCTAATAGAGATGCTCTGGACAAAGCCATGCTCGCCCATGAATCGACACGTCCGGGATTAGCACACAAATCCATGAGTAAATAATTTACGGCTTTCGCCTGGAAAAAATAAAATCATCATTCGATCGAATTTTAGCCTTTATTTAGGTTCAAGAAACATAAAAATTTGCAATTACAAATTCGTGTGTTTTAAAATAATAATCTCCTAATATGTAAAATAAATCTCGCACGGGTTCCGGAAGTGAAATACTAATATCGGGTACGTCGTTTCTTTTCCCAACGATAAATTCCGTCATTTTATTTGACACTTGAGCTGGAAAAGAAAAAGATACAAATAAGGAAACATCATCGTCATTTCGCCTTCGACGCCATTTGCACGAGTATAACATTCTTACAGGGATCTTTATCCTCGGGTATCAAAGCTGCTATTCTTCTAAATAAAACTTCCGTTTCCGAACTAATCAAATTGATTCTTAAAGAATCGTACGAGGGAGTTTCATCGGGTCGAAACAAATCAAACAATTGAATTCCTCTCTGCCAGGTCAAAGGTATCGTATTCACGTTATGCTCCGTTAAATATCTTGCCTAAAAAAAAAAAAAAAAAAAAAAAAAAAAGGAAAACCGTTCGATGATTCAAAATTTTCGCACTGGTCGTTACCGGAAAAAATTTTTTGCGTTTTTATTACCTTCGATTTTTTATTAGGATGAGAATACAAACAGTAAATAACTTGTTCTAAATGTTGTTGAATCGTTTCTCGAAAAGACGACCATTCCGAGCTCCTTATGTGAGGTATTACTTGATCCATAATTAAAAATAAAAGTACGCTTTCGTTACAATTGCACCATTCCCTCCTACTCCCCCACCCCCCCAAAAAAAAAAAAAAAAAAAAAGTTTTTCTTTTTTTAGTACAGTTAAAGTTTTGTTTTTTTTTTTTTTAAATGATTTCTCACCTTCCTAAATACTCGTGAGCGGTAAATAAAATCAAAATGGACGGAGGAATATCGTTGTCATCTTCTTCGTCGTTTCCCTCGTCGTCCGCGTCCATTTCGTCGTTGTTTGTTCCCGCATCGGATTTTTCATCGTCTTCCAAATCTATCAATATCGTGTTCAACATTATCCACGGTCTCGCAGGACAGGGAGGACGATCGGAATCTTCCAATTGTTTACACACGGCGTGACATAGGGTTTGAACGAAACGGGAAAGACGGTTCCGAGGAAGAGCATCCGTCATTTTAACCTTTCCCAATTGTATGCAATTTTCAATGGCGGCAAGAAACCTATCGAACGTCACCATCCACGATTCCCCTTCTTCTTCCGCGGGTAAAAAATTGATGGGAGCTTTTTGTAAAATCTCATAGCAACACGTTTCTAACCAAAAAATGCATTCCTGTAACAATAATAATAATAATAATAATTTTTCGAGGGAAATTTTTTTTTTTTTTTTAAAGGCACGACACATACCTTGTACTCATTTAAATGATAAAGACCGTTTATGAGCATCGATAATTGAGTTTGCCTGTCTATCAATTTATTTTCTTCTTCTTTAAAATAATTATTAACCGTGTCTGTGACCGTTGTTGCGAACGTGTCTTTTAAAATTTCCGTTAATTCTCTATACGATTCATCTTCGTACAATCGAACGACTTCGGCAAGACTTCTTTTTCTAAAACAAATTTATTTAAAAAAAAAAAAAAAACAAACAAATTTAATCGGATCAATAAATTTTTTTAAAGAAAATAAATTAAAAATTAATTCAATTACCTTGATTGATGAGCCAAAAATTCTTCTGTGAACGTTTTACTTATTACATTATATTTTTTGCTATTTTTCAAATGAACCGTCGTCGATTGAAACTGTGGAAAAAGTTCGTAGCATGCCAGAACGTCGTTCAGAGCGACGATTGCCAAATTTGTTTGTCCTCTGTCTAAAAAAATCCTGCATCTCAACCAATAGAGCCTTATTAGAAATTGAAAATAATTTTCCTCCGTGTCGAACATGTCTTTTCGATCCGTTAATTCCATTACGTTTTGTAAAAAAATAATTTGTAACGGTTTATCATCACATGAACTGAAACACGATTCAAATCAATAAAAAAAAATTTTTGTTTTTATTTCCCTTTTCGTTAAATTATATTAATAATCTTACTTTTGTTCGTTTGTACTTTTGTTTCTAACACTTGCTAAATATTCCAAATATAATTCACCGTATAATAAAACGCATCCGGATTCTTCCACGAGTTCTTTAAACTTGGACTCGGTTGTACACATTTTAAAATCGAGAGGATAATGAGTTCTCATCAATTGAAAACATTTTATGTAAATCAATGGCAAACCGTGCGGCCAAGTTTTATTCCAATGGTTTTTCAAAGCCATGACGTATAATTTGACTAATTCTATTATGTTATTTCCATTTTCGTTACCTGCACGCAATTACATTTTTCTTATTATTATTTTACAAATAATCGTTTTTCACACGAAGATGATAAATAAAAACTTACGAATAAATTCTCTGACGTCATTTTCTTCATTTAACTTTCCGAAATATCCTTCGCTGTCGACTATCAGACCGATATCTTGCTCTACCTCGCATCTATCTTGTTCTTCCTTTTGCCTTTTTTCTTCTGCACTTTCTTGTCGTTCGAACAATCTGTACAGATCCATGGTATCCAATGAGTCCTCGTCCAAAACGGAGGGTTTAGATAAATTTTTAATTTTCGGCTGCTTTGCTTTGTGCCTGGAAAAAAACAAAAACAAAAGGTTTCTTGAAAAAATTTTCTTTTACGGGCGAAAAAAAGAGTTATACGATGGATAACTCACAGTAATTTTCTAGGTAGTATTCTTCTTAAAGCTTCAGCTACATCCACGGGTTCGGGATTTCCCCTTAACGATGATCTGACTCTTGCAGAACGTCTTTTTCCACTCCAGAGTAATTCTTCCATCAAAGCCGATCCTTTATTTTTTTTATTCTTTTTTTCACAATTCCCATCGACGGATTTTTTACATGATTTATCGTCGCTTGCTTTGACACCATTTCCGCAATCGTTTGTTTCTTTATGATCGTCCAAAGTTTCGTTATTGCCTTCGAAAACGATCATTGATTCGTTAAGACTTTTTGACAAATCGACTGGCGTCAAAAGGCTCTGCACAAGAATAAGAATAAAAATAAAATTAATTAATTTTTTAAATATTATTACTTGAAAGGTAAACAGAAAATTTCACTTACTATGTATTTGTCTCCGTTTGTGATTTCTTCAAATATTTCCAATATGGTTTCCCCCAGGCAGGCCCATGTCGGCGTGTCGATTCTTCTTTCCGGAGTGTACGAATCAATGTCTTCCGCAGTAAAAACCTCTTCTTTGCATTTTTCAGCATAACCTTTACTGATTTGCAATACTTCATTTAAAAGCTTGTTTTGAATTTCTTCGCTCACTTCGCATTTCTTGTCCGAGTGTAATTGACTAGAACCAAAAAAAAAAAAAAGAAAAAATTATTTTATTTTATTTTTTTTTATCGAATAATTTATTTGTTTAAGCTAAATTATAATTAAATACTTACATTTTTTGATAAAAATATTTTATATCAAATTCAAGAGATGGTTGCTCTGTAAAAATGTAATCTCTTAGAACTTGACCCCTAGTGTAATTAACATCTATATCGAATGCTTTACTTATAAAATAAAGGCAGTTAACATAATCATTTAATGCAAATAAGCACATAATTAATTTATCTAGTGATGGCCAATGCCTTGGACTGTATTCTAAGCCCTACAATCAACAATTATAACTATTAGAACATTTTTTAAAAGTTAATGATTCATATATATATGTACGAATACGCACACATGAGCTTAATGCATTAAGACGAAGAAAAAAGGCAAAAAAGCAAACTAAATGATGACATTAATGTAAAGCATTCTTTTTATTTTATTTGTAATGGAGAGAGTGTGCATACCTTAAAAAATGCTTCAAGAGCTACTTTCAAATTAAATAATTTCAATGCTGCACAACCCATTTGATACCACATTGTAACATCAGATCCGTCAACTTCCAATGCTTGCCAATAAAATTCCAAAGCTTCATTTAATAAATTTTTCCTTTCCGAGAGTACAGCTAAATTTTTATAACATGAATACTTTAACATGAGATCAGGTTTCGAATAGAGAGAGAAAACATTATCTGATTTTTTTAACTTGACATTATCATCCTCCGTTTTTACCTACAAAAAAAAAAAAAAAAAAAAATTTTTAACTTTTAGTTTATAATTAACCGATTCACGTTAAAAAAAATTTTTTTTTTTTTTTTTACCTTTAACAAAAATTTTGTATTTAATAATTGTTTAAATAATTCCTCGGCTTTATCAATATCGCCACTTTTTTGTTCTTGAAGAGCTTCATTGTACAGTTTCAAAGCATTTTCTTCCTGTACTTCCAAAGGTGGCTAAAAAAAAAAATCAGGTTATTAAAAACATTAAATGATATTTAAAAAAATATTCATTGCTCCAATGGCACACTCACTTCTTTTGGATGAATATCAACTTCAACCGAACTTCTAGAACTGTCATCGTTAAGTGCTGTTAGGCGAATCATAATATAAAAATTGTTTTTATCGCGTCAGTGTTTTTAATTAAACACTGATTTTCAAGTGAAAAACTGTGCATTTGAATAAGTTTATCACACTCCCGTATAAATCATTCCATTTGAATAAGATACCTTAAGAAAATACGAAAATACAAAAAAAATATATCACTCGAATGCATTTTTCTTATAACTTATTTAAATATTACTCGAGTCGTTTTAAAATAAATTTACCATGTTAATAAATTACTATTTAAAGTGTGTAAAATTAAGATAGAAAAAAATTATTATTATTATTATTTGAAAAAGTTTTCAAGTTGAGCACAATTCATGACATAAATTATTTTATTATTATTTAATGTTTTTCGAATATACTCAAATAATTTATTATTGAAAATTATATTATTTAAAGTTGAAAAAAATCAAAAATTTATTTATTCACTTCGTTTAAATAGAACTTATAAAAATAAAATTGAAATTAAATACATGATTAAAAGTTAACTGAAACACTTGGAGACAAGCAACTTAAACATCAGATTCGTAAACTTGAGAAAAATAAAAATTTTCCTACTCCGACAAAGGAATTCGAGGGATTTTTCCATTTAATTTTTATTTTTAAGTTGGCATTCCGTAATCGAGACAGCGTCTAAGTAGATATTATCAGTTATTAACATATGTTTTAAATATATATATATATATATATATTGTGTTACCATATATCCGTGATTGTTTTAATGTCATTACTTTTTAAGACATCACTCATGAAATTTTTATTGGAATAAATTTTTAATTTAAATTAATTATTTCATTTCATAGTAAGAACTAATTAATTATTTAAAAAAAAAAATTATTATTATTAATACTTTGTTTTTTTTAAATAACAAGTGCAAGATATAAATTTTAGAGTTGTAGACATCTTAATGTCCATACGTAGCAATTTTATGAATGGCGAATTTTTTTCATTCATTTTATTTTTATCATCGATCACCTTTTTTTTTTTTCATTTTTTCGTTATCGAAATTAAAATTATTTGTCCCTAAAAATTTTCAAAATTGTTTTATTTTTTTGGAACACTTTATGCAATAATCGTAATTATTTATTGCAAAATTACTTTCAATGCCATTGTGAATTTTTTTTTTAAATAAATTTTAATTATAAATTTTTAATATTATTTATGTAATTTCTATTTATGTGATTTCATTTTTTTTTTTCAAAAAATATTTGGCAAAGTAATTTTTTTTTTTTTTAATTACCTTAAATTCCCATATAATTAATTACATAATTCAAATTAATTGAAAAGGAAAAAAAAAAAAAATTTCATTTTAATTATTTGTCTGATGTCCCAATTATTGTCGATATTTATTAAATTAAAATTTTTTTTTTAAATTATATTTTTGCACAAATCATTTCGGGGATTGAGGTCGATTACCTGATTATTTAACATTGAATATCAAACTAACCCATTTATTAATTTGTTTATGACTTGTTAATTTCCAAAATGAATCATCATTTAAGTTTCTTCTTACATTTATATGTGTTTTAGGTTTGTACAGAAAACATTTTAAAAAAATGGTGGATAGAATCGGGATAGGACCCGAAGAAAGGGAACTTAAATTAGGAAGTTCTTTTACAAATCCTAAAGAATGTGCATTTCACACATTAAGATGTATGTCACATTTTAAATATTAATTCATGACTCTTTCTATTATCATTAACATCAATTCGATTTTTTTTTCCCAGATGATTTTAAACCAGCAAGTGTTGATAAAAACAAAATGGCCACAATCGATGTTGGCACCAATTCTCAAATCACAGTATCATTTCCTCCGAATCTTATATTTAAGGGTAGTTCGAAACCATATTACAAACATGGAATCGTCATTGTCAATCCTGAAACTGGTGAAGTGACATTGGAAAAACTCACGTGTAACATTTCAGTTAAAAAAATAAGGTTTAATTTTTTTTTTATTTACACATCACAATATCAAAAATAATAATGATTATGATATGGTAGTAAAAATAATAATAATAATAATAATAATAATAATAATAATAAAATGAATGTTTCAGAGCCGAGAGTAAAAATGCACAAAATCTATCAATGATCGATCAATACATTTCCGGTCAAAAACCTAAGAAAACACTTTCGAATAAAAGTAATAAAAGCAGTGTAAATAATTCTAGCAGTAGTACTAGTAGTAGTAGTAGTAGTGGTGGTGGTGGTGGTAGTAAAACAAACACGTTGAAACATGGAAACAAAATGAAAAATGACACACAATCGAACATGAATAATTTGTTGCCAATTCATTCGATGCAGCAGGCAGCCAGGAATTCACCTAATTCTCAAACAAGGTATGAACCTTATCAGTAATAATAATAATGATTTAACAACCATTTGTGATAACAACATCTTTTTTACAACAGTAGCAGATTTTCAACCGGTTTATCACCATCGAATTCATCACCATCAAAACAAATATTAGAAGATCAATCCTCGGCATTGGACGATTGGTTCAGTTCTTTAGATTCAAACCGAAACAATTCGTCGAAACAAGACAATAAGAAAATTCCTCCGATGCAAAAAGAAGGTGGGAAAATTTTAATTTTCTTTTTCATCGGGGGGGAGGGGAAGGGGGAAGGGGGAGGGGAGGGAAATCAACAATTAATTAATTAATTAATTTTTTTTTAGAAATTAAATTGCCTCCGAGGGTTACGAACGATGACGTCGGCGAACTTTCCGACAGCAGTTCTTCCGGTGGATCGTCATCATCTGGAGATTCATCGGATTCATCATCGGATTCCGAATCTCAACAGCCAAAGAAAAAAGGTTTGCTCTTTTTATTTCATCATCTTCTCAATTCCCACCTGTTCCTTTCGAATCCCGAGATCCTACAATAAAATATATTTATCAGATAAATTTATTCCAGTTTGTCAAAGCGGCGGTCGATTGGTCAACGGTTCTCCAGGTCCGGAAGATCTTTTAAAAGAAGATTTGCAATTGTCCGAAAGCGGTTCCGATTCCGACTGAATTTAACGAAAAAAAGAAAAAAAAATCCCCATTTTATTCCTTTTAATTATTATTATTATTATTCAACGGCGTTTTAATCGAACGAATCGTGCTAAAAAAAAAAAAAAAAAAAAATTTTTTTCGTTTCGTTTTATTTTGTGTAATTTAAATAAAATTCGTTTTTAAAAAAAATGTAATTTTCTTTTATTTTAAATTTATTAATGATGATGATGATGATGATGATGATGATGATAATGATGATAATGATAAGAAAAAAAAAATATTAAAAAAACGATAAAAGGGCGTTATTTGGCGTGCGAAAGTGTGCGTTTGTGTGTTTGTTATTGTATTCGCTAATAAATCAATAAAAAATAAATTATAAAAAAAGTATGAAAAGGAACAACAACAACCACAACAAACGGCAACCCTAAAAACAACAACCGAAAAATGAAATAAATAATAAAAATAATGATTGTTTAAAAAAAGAATTTTTTTTTTTTCATTTTGTTTCCTTCTCTTTCCCTTTAAATTTTTTTTTTTTAAAAATGATTACCGGTAAATGATAATAATGATAATGATAATAATGATAAAAATCGTTTTGTTTTTTAAAATTTAAAAATAGGGGGAAAAAAAAAGTTATTCGGTGTGAAAAATAATATTAAAAAAAAAGTTTTCACGTCGTTACGAAATATTTATGTTTACATATAAATTAAAAAATTAATAACAAAATATTTTAGGGGCGGGGAAGTTTAGGGAAGCGGTGGTGGTGAGGATGGTTATGGCGGTGACGGTTATGGTGGAAAAAGGTTAAAAAGGTAAAGTTTAAAAAAATTTATGAATATTTCATTTGGAAGAGAAGAAAGTTTATAAAGAAGACATCATCTGTTATGAAGATGAACAAAAAAAAAATTTCAACTTGAGATGAAAAAATTAAAATTAAAATTAAAAAAAATTTACGTTTTCGCACGAGTGTGTAACACAAATTAATAATAATAATAATAATAATAATGAATAAATTTTTATATTATTTAACCTTGTTTAATAAAAGAAAAAAATGAAAAAAACGTTTCCATTTTTTTCCGATAATTAAATTTATATTTTAATTAATTATTTAATTATCGTTTTTATTCGGAAAATAAATACATTTTTGATTTTTTTTTTAAATTTTCACGTTTTAACGTATTTTTCCCGACGGTGATGACGACAGAAAAAAATTTTTTTTAATGACGTCACACACGGAAAAAAAAAAAAAATTAAAAAACGATATTTTTTAAAAATCTGATTGTTTTGAAAAAAGCATAAACGTTAAATTTAAGGCGTTTAAAAATAAAAATAAAAATTATTAACGTCGTAAATAAACAATATAAAGCAGACGATTATTATTATTATTATTATTATTATTATTATTATTATCATAAGGAGATTTTTTCTTTTTTTTTTCGGGTCATTAAATAATAATTATCCCGTAATAATCCGTAAATTTTTCAAAGGTCGAATCCTTCCGGGAAGAAAAAAAAAACGTCTTTATTTTACTATTACCCCTCGGATTACCGATATCGGTTCCTTCCCCAACTCCCTCTCCCCCCGAAATAAATAAATTAAAATATTAAAAAAAAAAAAAAGGTGAGGGGAATTTAAAAAGCTCCCCACCATGCGATTTCCCAGGTCTTTTTCACGCATGAGAATTCGGCACCTGAAATTCGTTCGATTAAAAATTTAACGTAAAAAAAAAAAAAAAAATTTTTATTTTTGCGGTTAAAAACATTAAACGCGAAATTAAAATAAAATAAAAAATTCTCTCTCTCTCTCTCTCTCACGGTTTCGCATTGAAAATTTAATAAGACACAAAAAAGTAAAAAAAAATTTTAAACCGCAGCAAAGCCAAAAAAAAAAAAAAATTCCCACGTCAAATTGCCATAATTTATACGTTGAAAAACGAGACAAAATAATTATTCCACGATTTTTTAACCGTCGCAAAACAAACAAACCTTGTTTTTATTTTTTTTTTTTTACATTGAAGCCCTCGTGACAATTTTTTTTGCTGCAAAAAATAACAAAACTTTTTCATTTTTTTTTTAACGTCAGCAAAAAAAAAAAATTTTTCACCGTTTACGATCGTCAATAATAATAAAACGATCACACGCAATTTAAAAAAAAAAATAATTTTTTCCCCACGTTTAAACGATAGCAAAAATTAAAACACGTGATTAAACTATAGCAAAAAAATCTCACGACGACGTATTAATAATAATTATCTCCCTTTCTCTCTCTCTCTCAATAATAAAATCTTCGTTTTGTTTTTGTTTTGTTTTATTTTTTGCTACCCGCAATTTCCTTCTTTTTTTGCTATTATTTATTTATTTTTATTACAAATAATTTTCATTTTTATTTTTATCATCTTGTTTTGAAACTTTTTTAACAACCATATAATAAAAATAAAAAACTTTATTATTAATAAATAAAATTATTTTTAATTTTATTACTCTTCATTTTAATAATTTTTAAATTGTTAATAATAATGGGAAAGAGAGGGAGAGATAGATAGATAGAAAAATTTTTTTTTGTACACGCGTACACACACATGTGTGTGTGTGTGTGTGTGTGTACGCGTGTATATATAAAAATGATTTTATTATTTTTTTTTCCATTTTACAGACCTGGATTCGCTGGAATTCTGCGCGTTGGCTGGAATAGAGAAACTGCAGTTCCGTCCCGGCTGCTCGTCCAAACGAGAACATCACTCTATTCATCGAACAATCTAGAAAAAACACGTTTTTTTCCTATTATTATTATTATTATTTTTTTTTTTTTATCTTTTTTTCATACAATAATAATAATAATAATTTAACCGGGAGATTTAAAAACATCGGGACAAACACGCGACGGAACAAACGAAAATAAAAAAACGAAAACGACACGATTTACATTATTATTATTATTTATTTATTTATTATTATTTAACCGTTCGCGACAAAAAAAAGTTTCGTGTTACGAATATTATTATTATCATTATCATTATCATCAACTTCGTTCTGTTTTTTTTTTAATAATAATAATAACAAAACAAAATTTTTGGATTTTGTATTAAATAAAAAACGTAATAAATAAGGTAAGAATTTATTTGTATTTTTATTTAAACTTATTATTATTATTATTATTATTGATAAAAATCTCTGTCGTCTGCTTGGGTTTAATAAAAAAAAAAGGTTAAATTTATTTATTTAAAGAAGGAAATCCTCGATGGATTTCTTTTTTTAAATGATATTAATTTAAAAAAGTAAACAAATAAATATTTTTAAAAAAAGGCGCGAAGCAGAAGACACAAACATTTTTTTTTCTAGCATTAAATTGTTGTTGTTGTTGTTGTCGTTGTGAGAAACCAATAAAATGTCTTTTACGTCTGTCAACAAGTTTTTTGAATAGATTCGAAAAATAAATTTAAAAAAAAAAGTTTCCTGGAATAAAATTTTTTTTTCTTACCGCCTGGAATTATTTTATCCCGTTCCCTCCCTCTCTCCTCCCTTTCCTCCCCTCCCCTTCAAAAAAAAAAAACGGTGACGGTATCTATAATAATAGTCAATCGTGGCAGCAGTCAAAGAATTTACGTTAAACACGCGCACGCACGCGTTTATATATGTATATTTTTTTAAAAATCATTTATCAAAAAATAAATTTAAAATTTTTTCCGCCATATTGTTTGTTTTAAAAAACGAAATCATCGTTTTTATTTTTTGTTTGTTTGTTTGTTTAATGCAATCCCTTCGAGTTAAATTCGTTCGTTTAAAATAAAAAAAAAAAAAAAAAAAAAACGTCATGACAAAATTGTTTTTTTTTTTTTTTTAAATTTATTTCCTTACATTAAATTTTTCGTTTTTTTTTTTTTTTTTACCACCCGGAAAATTTTTTTTAATAGTTTTAGTTTTTTTTTTTTTTGGGGGAGTTGGGGGGGGAAAAAAGATCGAAGAGAGGGAGGAAAGAGGAGGTAATACTCTGATAATACTTTTTTTTTTTCTAGAGAAATTTAATTTTTATTTTTATTTTATTTTCCGTACGTTTATTCTTATCATTATTATTATTATTATTGTTAAACATGATAGAAAAATAAAATAATTTTTTCATATCAATTATCATTATCTATTAAATATTTTTTTTTTGGACGCCATATTTGTTTTTTTTTTTTTGTTCTAGAATTTTGATATGAATCATATTGAAAAATTTTTAAATTTATACTAAATTTTTTTTTTTTTTTCGTTTGTAAAAATGATAAAATAAATTTTATTATTAAATTCGTATGGTGGTATTTCCGTGTTATGTTTTTCAACGATCCCACAAAGACAACAACAACAACAACCGACCACAAGTCAATACGGGAAAAAAAAAAAAAATTGATTCTGCGCTTCGACATTTTTTTGTTGTTGTTGTTGTTTTTGTTTTTTTATAATGAATAATTTTAATCTTATTTTATTTTTTAAATGAGGTGAAGTTGAAATTATTTCGACAAAGTCAAATCCGACTTTGTTAAAAACAAACAAATTTTTTTTTTTAAAATAAAAAGATGAGAATTTAAAATAAATAAATGAAAGAAAAACAAAAAGAGAGAAAGAGAATGAATTAAATTTATTAAAACTGTTAAAACGATTCAAACCGATGTTTTCTTTTCTTTTCCCCCTTCCCCCCCAAAAAAACAAAACGAAAATAACAAAATTAACAGAAGAAAAAAAACAAACAAAAAAAAACGTTACGAAGAGTAAAAAAAAAGAGAGAGAAAGAGGGAAGAGAGAGGAAGAGGGAAAGAGACAAAAAGAGGCAAGAAAAAAATACATTTAGCAAAATGAAAATGAAAGGAATAGACAGACAGAGAGAGACGAAAGCAGTATGTAGAAGAGAAAAAGAGAGAGAGAGACGATTAAAAGATCAGTGTGTAGGAGAGAGAAAAAGAACAAACAGAGACACAGACAAAAAGAAAAAGAAAAAAATATTTAAAGAAGGGAAAGAAAGAGGAAAAGCATAAAAAAATAAAA